CAACACTGTGGGTTGCATTTCACTTCCACAGTATTCCAAGGCTGGGTGTGTTCCTTCAGGAGCTTGCGCTTCTACTTCCCGTATCACTTTGATGTATGAGGGTTGACTTACCATATCGGAAATGCGCGTGGTATCTTGCTGCCCTCCCACGGAGCACCACACTGACAGCAGCCACTGCGGTCACTTCCCGAGGGCTGGAGAATGAACTGGGATCGCCTGCCTGCTGGGAGCACTGCCTTTGAGTCTGCTCCATATTTGTTAAGTGTTTTTCTTTCCCAAGTAAAGGATGCAAGCTTGAAAATGCAGACAAGCTGTGACAATACGTTGTCAAGTCTCTTTAGTACAATGCCTTTCAGAGCAGGAAAAGTTACCTGAGGTAGTAACTGATTAATTGGATCCCTGGGTCTCACTGCAGCCTCTGTCCATACAGAATATGGAGGAACCCAGCCGGGAGCTGCAGGGAGCTGCCGAGCTGCACAGCCCGCTGAGGCCAGGCACTCAGCCTGCATCAGGGTGGCACAGAGCTGCTCCAATTTTCCCAAACAGAGTGCATTCACTATTTGAAAGAAATCAGACAAGGAGCAGGTCAGGTCACGGGGATGAGCACTTCCATACGGAGGCTGAAGCCATGTACCTTTCAAACAGCTGCTCTTCCAAGCTCACAGAGGAGCAGGCTAACCCGTTGGCTAACAAGCATTAGCCTGTAAGCTCAGGAAGTGCACTGCACTTTGGAGGTAGCCTGAAAGTACTTTTTAATCCTACAGATCCAAATCCAGTTAAATTACCTGTAACATGAAAAAAAGCCTGAAAGTGTATTTACCATACACACTCCTTCCCCCAAGAAGAGATGCATTAAGTGTTTAAAATAGAAAAAAAAGCCAAGACTGTCAGGATTTCTCTTATCCAAGTTAGCCAAAAGATCAGCTAAATATATCACAAAGTTCATATTTCAAGCTCATGAACCTTCATCAGAAGAATGAGATTTGAATCCTTGATAACAAATAAGCATGTATGCGAAAAGAAGGCTTTGTTAAAGTGAAGTAGCCCTCACAAAGTCTCAGAAGGCAACCTGGTGCACTCGCTGTTAAATTTCATGGCATAACAGCTATAGTTTTCTTCCAGCTTCTCGGGCTTGATACCAGGACGTGCTGAGCATCCAGTGCGAATAGAAGATGCTCAATCACTTACAGCATTTTGATGTGATCTGGAGCTACTATGGTCTGCTGTATTAATTTGGATAAACATTAGAGTGAACAGGTTATATGCACGTACAACAGGTTATAAATGACATTCACATCTCTGGTACAGCAATGACTGTTGGATTTTCTACTATTATATACATGCACAGTGAAAGAGCAAAAAAAAAAAAAAAAGTTAAAATATTTTCCACACAAGCAATTGTTCTAGCTAGCAATCATAGTTGTTTGAGTGCCACTGGAAATCAGCAGGACCACGGCAGATATGAACTGGTGAGACAGAGGGAAGAAAAGACATTGCAAATTGGACAGACAACATTAAAGATTGCAGAAACAGAGAAGGGAGGACAAAAAGGAGGTATTTCATCACAGCCTCCTGCTTCTAGATTGTCTTCCAAAGCAGAGAAGTCTAATTCCAGGACCAACAAATGAGAGACTTTAGAAAGTGAATTTGTAGTGCAGCAGCAGAGGAGTTTAATTTGCTTACAATAACTAGTCCCATTATTCTCTGCATTAGCAGATTCCAGCTTTCAGCTGAAAAAAAGGTTAATGAAAAAATCATTGGTCTCGAGTCCACCGGGAATTGATTGGGAACATTTCCAGAAAATTAGATTGAAACAAAAGGCAACGAAGTAGATTAACTAAGATTGGATTTTCCACAGAAAAGCAACATAAACCAGATTGAGTCTTTTTCATCCTTCTCTAAGAAAAAAACTGCCAAGACTCCCAGTGATTTCCTGGCAGACTTTTGGAGAAGCTCATGCTGGCAATCTGCTTTAGCTCAACTTCACAAAATTCTGATGCAGATTACTGCTCACTTTCAGGGTGACCTTCAGGCAAGTGTGGAGAAGGCAGGTCTGCAGAGGCATAAGATTTTCCTGTTGGGTAGAGGGGTCTTTATAGAAAATACAGAAACCAAAAAGGAAAGGAGAAAAGATTATATTTTAGTTCAAAGAACAGAAAGTTCTGACTTCTTTCTGATCTGACGTTTGATTGGAAAACAAGACAGCTGAAAGGAAGCTCCTTAGGGCCCTGACTTGAAACTCACCACGTGAACACATTAGATCTTCTCATCTACTTGTACTAGAAGACTATTAAATATCAGTATTCTCAACTCCTTCTCTGCTCAAGCATTAAGCTTTTGTTTGGGGATAAGAGTGTCTCACTAATTCAAAATTTGAAGTTCACAGTAAAGGGCTGAGGGAAGAATTCTCCCAAACCTCTTTTCTAAAAGGGGAAGAAAAACCTCAAACCCACTAATCTTCTTGTACTTGCACCACTGCAAGTCAGAGTAAGTGGTAGTGACTATACCTTTAAAACAAAAAAAGCAAACATGCAAAAAGCTCATTGGAAATCTTATTTAATCCCTTCTCCCTACTGGCAGAAATTCCTCTAATTCTCAAATTAGTTAAAAAACTGCTCTAGATTAGAAATCTGATGCAAAATTAAAATAATTCTCTGGAACTTCTAACAAGCAGCAAAATCTCAGTAGAAAACAGCCATACAAAATTTCTCAGTTCTCAGTACAGAGTTGTGTGGGAGCCTGCAACTCCTGCTAGTTTTATTCTTTTTTTTTTTTTTTTTTTTTTTTTGGTGGTGGTGGGGACAGAGTGGAAAAAGAAAAAACCTGCTTACCATAAAAATTTCTGTATTCATAGCAAAAAGTATCACTTTAATTTCGTATTGTGCAGCAGGACTGTCACAGTCAGCTTCATCAACACATTCACAGTTATGGAGCCAACATGCATTTAAACAGCAATATTTACACATTATTTCCAGTGCCCCCTTTTAATGACGGATGGGAAAAAAGTAATTCATAATCCAAAGCTTGACGAAAGCCTCAGGAAATATTACATCATAAATTATATGAACCGAGACCATTAAATTGAACACTAATTTACCCTATAAGATCACTCATGAAAAATACTGCAAAAGCTTTATTTACCTCAGGGTCAAGCAGAGGCAAGTTAAGATCAAACGGATTAAAAGTAAATTTAATACATAGTTGTGAAGAGAGTTTAATGCACCTTTGCGCAAAATGCCATACTACTAAGCATTCTGAAGCTTGGAATTTGAGCACAAACAGGAAAAATTGGTCTGTGACTGGGAACTCTTGTGGAGACACAAGCCCACTGCAAACTCCAATGCAGAAGAGGGCTATGAACAAAGCTTAAATAAAAAAAAAAAATTACAAGTGGCTAAAACAGGGCTTAGGTGTGATGTTTGCAGTACGTACTCCTACAGCTACCTACCCATTTCACTGACACTGAGACTTGCCAGTGCTGATCCCAGTTTGTTAAAGCACATCAGGTTCTGAGCTAAGGGGTTGTTCACAGGATGGGAATCCTTGATCTACCAGAACTGTTTTTTTTTTGCTTCCAAGCTAAACTTAGTACTTTTTTAAAAAAAAAGGAAAAAGTTTGGTATAGACATAACGTTACCTGTACCTGAGAAAACCTAAATTCAAGTAAAATGCTAGGACTTAGCCACATTGGTCTTCACTGTTTAAAAAAAAAAAAAAAAAATCTATCTTGTCTGCCAACTTGATAGAAATATGGAAGGAGGCGAGGCAAAGCAAAATATTATCTCTTCATCTACAGAACACAGGAACCACAAGTCCTATTTGAAGTTCATGTCCACCTGCCATAGGAAGATAGAACAATCTGTTCCCATTATGAATTCACATCAAATTATTGTATAATCATCATGTGTGTGCATTGGTTTTATTAACAGAAACAAGGCTTTTGACCCTGTGCAGGTTTCATTCTAAAATAATCACACATTCTGCAATAAAAAAGCTGCTTAATATTCCCCTTAGTCTCTTCCCCTTGGAAGTGAAATCACTGATATCCCAATCATGTTGCATTCTTATTGCGATAAAATACACAAATTACTGCAAACGCAGCACTACAACAAACAGACCTGGCAACTTCATGCTCAGACTCAAACATCCTAAAAACAACTATTAGTACAAATTTCCAATCAGTGCCGAAGTGTACCAAAGCCAGGAAATTATTCAATTCTTACTGCCATTTTGCTCTCCCCTGCATTCAGTTTTTCTGCACCTCAACATCATCCGGTTCCCAAGTGCTAAATTTGAAGACAAGGCAGTGGGGTCTCTCAAAGCATCTAGATACACCAGCTTCAAAAAAGCAATAAAACAGGCATAGTTCTCAAACTACAAGGCAAAGGTGGAAAAATTGCTCTAACGAGGGCCAGCTCAGATGTTTTTAAAAGCAAGAAACTACTCTGATGCTATGAAGAAATTGCATTACACGGGTGCTGTCACCGCTGGGTAAGCACGAGAACCAAATGTGGAGCCCAAGGGCGCCCGTGTGTCCCCAGGCTCCCCGCCGCCACAGCTCTGCAGGGTCGCTGCCCCCCGGCGCGGCCAAACCACCCCCGGGACAGGCCGGGCGGCCAGCCCGGGGGGGCCACGGCGGGGCGCGGTCAGCCCGGCTGTCACCTCGGGGACACACACGCTCCCGGCTCGCCAAGCCAGCCTCCCCCGCCCCGCCGAGGCCGCGGCCCGGGGCTGCCCCGCCCGCCCCCTGAGGCACCGGCCGCCCGTCCCGCCGCGCCGCCTCACGCCGGGACCGGGGACCCCACGGGCGGCGACGGCGCGCGCGACCCCCCCGGCACGTCACTCACCGGCCGACCGCCACGAGCCCGCCGCTCGCCAGCCCCGCGCTGCAAGCCCCGCCCCTCTCACGCGTCCCCCATAAGCCCCGCCCCCTGACGCGTGTCCTCACACACACTAAGCCCCGCCCCGCGCAGCTTCCCCTTCCTCTTTCCTCCTTCCGCCGCCCCGCCCCGCCCCGGTCCCGGCCCGCCGCGGCCGGAAAGTGCTCCGCTACCAGGCAGCGCGTTTACGACACCGGTGGCGGGTCCTCGGCCATGTTCGGGGCGGCGGCGGCGGCGGCGGAGGAGGATGACGCGGATTTCCTGTCCCCCGCCAGCGGGTGAGCGGCCGGGCCGCGGGGCAGCAGCCCCGGTGAAGGCCTCGCTCCTGCCCGGCGCGGCGGGCGGCCCCGCGGGGCCCTGCAGAGCCCTCCCCGCTGCCGGCCGGGCGGCCCCGCGAGGCCTCCCCTGGCCAGCGAGACCCCCCGCAGCGGGGCGGGGAGCGGCCCCGCCGTGCTCGGGTTCACCCCACGGTGTGTCCCGTCCCGCCTCGGCGGCGGCGGAGCGGGAGCCCGGTGCCCCCGGGCCGGGGCTGGCTGCCGGAGCGGGTTGGGGCGGGGGGCTCCGGGCTCCTGCCCGCAGCCCCGGGCGGGGTTTTGATCTAGAGCCCTTCGGAAGGGGAGGGAGCGGCCGCTCGGGGCTTGCGGCTTGTAACGGGGGGGACGGGTGAGAGAGAGCCGGTGTGTTTGCTTGAATAAGGGTGCAAGTCCTGAAAATGCCGGGTTAGGAAATTTTTTAACAGGGGTGGCTACTTCCAGTGTGCTCAGCAGTTTTCAGCTTTTGTTGATACCGTTTTAATGTGTAGCACATTCAGTTTTTCTCACGTTGTGTAACTTCTTCCGGCTTGAAGATTCCTCAGCAGTTGTAATTTCAACTGTGCTCACTCCCCACCCCCTTCAAGGAGCCTCTGTTTAATAATCTTGTAAACTAATCACCTCTCTTTTTAGCGAAGGGTTATTTTTTAAAGCATCTCATGTAAAATGCTGCAGATCCACTGGCAGTGGTGTTGTCCTTTGTGGATTCTGCTTTGTAGTTTGAATTACTCACTTGTCCCATGATAGCAGGAGTAGGTGAGCTTAAATGGGCTTAGAGCAGTAAAACTGCAAACAACATATCTTGTAGGAATAAGCAGCTTATCTGTAGCACTGAACCTTCAGACCTTAGACAGGAGAGCATCTATCATTTTAAAATTTAATGGGAAAATGCATTTCCTGGACATTTCAAGAAGTAAAGTTCTGGTGCAGAATGGTGGCTTCTTTGCTGTCATATATTTTTTCCGGTATTGTAACAATCAGCTATTTTATTTGAGGGTAGTCCTAGTTATTGCTTTAAAGTAACTTCTTTTTTGGTGTAGTTTCAGTTTTTGTTCCTTACAGTAGCTTTTGAGGAAATGAAACATAATTGTGCCACTAACCCCAGGCCCTTCATCTAAAAGTTGTGCTTATTCAAATTTAAATGGCTAATTTGCATAGAGAGGCTTAACATGCATCCCTTTATTTATAAAGTGATGGTAAATACTTCATGTTTGATATAACTTACAGTTAGTTGTGTTATTATCTATAAAGCCCATTTATACAGTAAAATAGTTTATTTCTCTTTCTAGTGCCAGATTGGCCTCTCTCTTTGGTCTGGATCAAACAGTCTCAAGCCATGGAAATGAATTCTTCCAGTACACTGCACCAAAGCAGCCTAAGAAGGGTCAAGTGGCAGCTGGTAAGTAACTGGGCTTGAGTGTGGGGAAAAAACTTTGCAGTATGTGTGTCGCTGGGAGAATGAGGGCCTTTGTGAAGAACAGCAGTGCTAATAATTCACTTCGTTTTCTTGAATGATATTATCCTCTAGTACCCTCCCTATGTCTGGTTACTCTAGTGGTCTTTGGTGACTTTGGTAGCATCACTGGTTTTTTTAATCTTTTTCTGGAGTTACTTTTCCCTGGGGGAAGGAATGTGTCGTGGCATTGTCACTGGCCAGCAAATGTGACAGTTCTGTATCACTGACAGGTATTCTTGCTTTTTATTCCTCAGCAGGTCAGGCAGCCCAGAAGGCTCCTGTGGCCCCAGCAGCTTCAGGAGCACCATCAGTGTTCATGGCCACTGCAGTTCATGCTTATCGATAGTAAGTACAGCGGTGGTTTCCTGCATGACCTGTTAGTCTGTGTCTCTGGGAGCTTAAGACCTAATCATAGAGGGAAGATATTTTTGGATGAGTGTGAAGAGGCCATGGCCTATAGACATGTGTCTGCATGGTAGAATGATACAAGTTGATGCAAGTTTCTGCTCAAAAAAAAGTTTCAGTTACTGTGCTGCGGTTCTCAGTTATGCAGTTGTCAAATAAATAGCAAGTTCTAGATTTGGCTGTTACAGGGAACTGCATCCTGGAGTGCTGGCCTGAATTTTGCACCATTTCCAGGCAGCTCTGTCAGATGCTCATGTCTCATACATTCCCTCATGGAAAACTGAGCATAGAGTGACAGCAGTAAAATTCTCTGTCCATTTGACATTGCCATCATGTAAAAACTCATCTGCCCTGGATCTGTGAAAAGAGCAGTTTTCAATTCAAAACTGCATAACATATGTTCATGCAATCTGTGGGCAAGCAAGCAAGTTGTAATGTCTTTAAGCAAGAAAGGCTGCCTGACATTTTAGGCATGAGGAGAGGGGCCTGAACTATAAAGAAGAAAAACTCAGCAACAGTAGAGGGATATCTGAGGCAGGGATGGTTCTGCAGCTGAATATCTCGCTTGTCTTCCAGTACAAATGGGCAGTACTTGAAGCAAGGCAAGTATGGAGCAGCTGTAGTGGGGAACCATGCTACTAAAGAGGTGAGAGACACTTCACTTCTTTAAGATTTTCATGCCAAGAGTGTGCTGGTATGAGGCAGTGTTTCTCTGAGCTCACCAAAACATCTTTGCTTTTGATGTTGGAGGTCTTAGTTCCACTGCTGCATACGCCTTCTGGCCCTTCTGTGTTCTCTTATGGCTCAGTCATTTACCTTGGTGACGTTTCTCTGGAATCCACAAGTTTGTAAGATCTCTTACAACTTGTGCATGAAATATTTTGCAAAATATTTCATGCACTGCACCTTTTCTAATGTTTATGGGAGTGGTTTTGGTACTTATTCAGAATGTCTTTGACAACTGGATCACAAATCTGTGCATGTGAAAATTAGTATAAAGCAAAATTTTGTCCAGTAGTACAGAGATCCTCTGCTTAAGTTTTGTTATTTTGGTGTCAAAAATATCTCTCCTTCCCAAGTACTCCTATAAGAATGCAGCACTGGAATGCCCAGTAGATTGGTGTGTTTAAAAGATACTTTGGATGCTCCTATCTGTCTTTGATGTTGATATTTATGGTGTTTCCTATCCCCCAATTCATGTTGTCTCACTAAATTGCTTCTGCTTTGGCAAGAACAAAATAAAAAGTAGTTTGGTAAACTCATTCCTGAGTCACTGATCTGAGAAGTGTTCAGGTGTGGCCGTTCATGGGGGAGCTGGGAAGGACAGGGCCAGCAGAAGGAAGGGAACACAGCCTTTCTCAGGCTGCCTTTGCAATATCACATCCTGCGCAGCTGGGAACAGCAGATTGCTCCCCGTTCACCACCTAGCTGTGCTGAGTGCAGGTGCGTGAAGGAAAGCACTTTACTTTAGCAGACCATGTCTAGTAGAGCCAAATATATCAACATAATGTTATATCTGAATTGTTTAGTCCTTTGAAAGTTCTCTTCAACTTATTATTACTCAATCTATTACATTGTTTTATGCCTGTATGCCATGTATTGCGAGTTTTATGTTTCAAAGGGTTAGTGCACCATCTTTTTACACAATAACTGCAAAAAATGTGGAATGAGTTAAAGCATCTTGCTTATTGCAAAATAATTCGTTTGAATGGCTTGATTCTTGTAGCTAAATAAAGCTTACATATTTTCAAGAGGTTTTTAATAGGTGTTAGATAATTGCGTTAAGTATTTTTGCTCTGAAAAATGTTGCTGCAAGGTGTATTTGACAAATAATGTAGCCTTAGGCTCAGAATGTGATAAAACACACTGGAACTGAGGACGTTTTGAGTTTCTGCTTTTTTTTCTTTTTCCCGACCCAATTCCTTGTGGAATCCAGTACAGGATCCTCCTTTACATCAGTCAGCAGCAACAGGTCACCACTGCAAGGATCCATCCAGGCTTCGTGCTCACGGTAAGACTGGATTAGAAAAGTGTTCAGTGATCTGTATTTTTTACAGCAAACAGAAGTTGCCTCTGAAATGCTTTTGTTTACAGCCTTTGAGCTCAAACATCTGACTGGCACAGCAAGAGGTGTCACAGTGAGTGGGAGTGCTGTTCTGCTTCTCCTCCTAAAGTGTATTGCACAAGAGACTGTTACAGCTGCTTTTTGCAGAGCACTTCATCAGTAGATTTCATAATGCAAGTTCGTACACTGTAGGAGGTATATTACCTCTAGATCACAGGGGAGCTGGTTTGAGTTTTGCTGTCCTACAGTTGATAGTAACAGAACAAAATTCCTTTTGCTAATAATCTGTAGTTAAGTGACTGAAAGAATAGAACTGAGCAAGCAGAAGGAAATTATAGCAAGAAATGTTTCTCTCTGAAATTTGACACTCAGCATTTTCCTGCTGGTAAGAACAATTTGGAGCATTGTAAGCCCTAAAATGGGATCTCTCGGGAAGTTCTGTTTTCTGCCAGTTTTACAGAAAATTGGTGTGTTGATTTGCTGCTCTTAGCTGGTCATCAGGTGAAATAAAATTTCATGGTTTGATGGATGGAAATTTTACTCTGAAACAGTAGAATTTCAGTCCAAATTTCTGACCAGGATGCTAGCTTGCTCTTTAGTTTTACAAATGCATTTTAAAAGAGTGGGTTATGTAGTTGGCTTCTGGTGACAGGGACTTTTAGAAGTGAAGGAGTGACCCCTCCAATTGATTCTAGAGGTCTAAATATAAGCAATACTTATGAAAAGTAGATTATTTACACTTAAAAATCTCAGTATGTATTATAGAACGTAGCTTCAAATAAACTTGTGAAAGCTGCAGCTTCTGCAAAGAACTTAATACTTGCTCAAGTATTTGAGTTATGTGCTTGTTATTATGGAAGAATTATTATAAATAAAAGCTAATTTGTGCATTCTGAACTTGGGTAGTAATATAGCAGGGTTCTGCCTCTGCTTAATTTCAGTAGTTCTTACTTTAAGCTTCTTTTGAATGTGATTTTTTTTTTTCTTTTTTTTTTATTTTAGTTGAATGCATCTTTTAATGTATAACATAGGACTGATTTCCTTTCTCACAGGTTCAACCCAACAACTACAGTACGTTCTACGATGATCAGAGACAAAACTGGTCCATCATGTTTGAGTCAGAAAAGGCAGCAATGGATTTCAGTAAACAGGTAAATACTTACTCTGGGTGAGCTATGACTTGCTGCCTTTAGAACAGCAGGCAAATCAAGATGTATCAAGTCAGTCATACTTTTTCATTGAAGTTCAGCTTTGAGTACCTGCATGACTGTGAGGCAGATCTGCAGTGAGCCTGGCCGAGTTTTGTTCATTCGATGATGGCCTCTGAGGCAGAGAGCCTGTCACTTCTGATGGGAATTTTGATCAAGATTCTCAAGTACTCTAAGACCAATGGTTCTGCAGAACAGAGGTTATTTACTCAGCAAAATTTAGCAGAAGGAGTTGTGGAATGCCTCATAAGTGCATCTATAACCTGGGCTTGATCAGAACAGTAAGAAATGCATTAGATCTGTAATGGGTCGTAGTGGAACTTGCCAGTCTGTTTTAATGGCCAGAGACACTGATAGGCTTTCCTTCTGCAGGTGTGCATTGCCAAATGCAACAGCTCTCCAGTGCTTGATTCAGTCCTCTACCAGGATCTCCTTCTTGGAGAAGGACAGGGAGTAGAAGGAGGAGACTCTCTGGAGATCGCCTATACGGGTTGGTTGTTCCAGAGCAATGGGCTTGGACAGGTAAAGACGTTTCTGCTGCCTCCTAGTACTGATTTGTGAGTGTGATAGTCCCTGGAAGGAACCTGACACATCTAACATAGTATTGGAGCTGATGTTAAAAGTATTCTTTCAGCCATTTAGGGCACCATCAGTGAAGTCATATGTGTTACCTGTAGGATAATAAGAGATTCTATTACCGTTCAGGAGGAGGTAATTGAAATGCTTTTAACTTTCGTAGGCACGCTCACGTATTAATATTAATGAAAACGGTGAGAAAAGGCAATGATGTTAGCTATGCTCCTTTGGAAACAGCTTGAGGAAGTAATAAGGGCCTTGCCTGACACAAAGCACATCTCCAAATATTAAAAGAATGAGACTGCTTTTACGTCCTCTACAGCTGTGTCAAATCCAGTTTGCTAATAAGCAAAAGAAATGCTTTAATGTTTCAAAGCATTACCTTTAAAACACTTCTGCTGGTTTTACTATTAGTGAAATTCATGACAAAGGGTTTTGCATTTGCATCTATCTGTAGTTGAATCTTTTTGCTATAAAACAGTTCTTTGGTTTTTGTTGGTCTGCCTGGCATTCTTTATAGAGTTTACTCCTAGTCTCCTGAAAGAGTTGTAGATGTTCAGCTGCATATGTCAGTTTAATGTACAAAACTTCTAGACAGTTGTTTGCTGCTTGATATAAGCCTGCTGTGTAGTGTTTTACTTGGCCCAATCCTGTCCTGACCATGAAGCTCAAAGCAGTTTTAAAGTCTGAGTCTCCAGCTATCTTTCGCTTTTAGAAATTGTACTGTGCAGTGGGCTAGGAGCTGTAGCCGTGCTCTGTCTTATGTCTGAGAGTTCATTTTGGAAGTAGCAGAACGGGAAATAGCACATAAGAGATTGTAGGATTTTATGGAATGTGTAAAGTAGCATTCAGAATATTGAAACAGTTGGGAAAAGCATGTATTTTGTGGTGTTCTTCAACTCTCTAGGTGTTTGACTCAAATGTTAACAAAGACAAACTGTTGCGGCTGAAGCTGGGATCTGGAAAGGTCATCAAGGTAGAACTTCTGTCACTTTCATTATAATAACTGAAGTCTCAGAGCTTTGAATTACTGAAAATCTTGTTCAGGATTCATGTATACTGTCTCTGTTTCATATTTTATTTGATAGGAAACACTCTGTAACAGTGACTCAAAATTTTTATTCACAATATTTTATTCACAATATTTTATTTGCACAATATAGCCCAGTCTCCTTTGCAGTGGTAGTGTTGGAAAGAAGCTGTCCTGTTTGATAAAAAGGAAGCTTCATGTTTTCAAGAGCTGGGTTTCTTAGGGTGGTTTTTTTTGTCTTTGTTTTTCTGGAAATCGCTCAATCTATTACCCTATTCTCTGGGAACCCTATTTCTGAAGGTGGATTTCAATTTGAGAAGAACTTCAGATTCCATTCCACGCATTGTGCCTCAGAAGCAGAGCATCAGATAGCTCTGATACAACTCCTGGGAGAAGGTCATGGGAGGGTGAGGAAAATTGACAAGTTTTAGGATGATCTAGTAAAAGATGGTACTACTGCCTAGTGTGGTTTTACCCTCTAAGTCAAATCATGGGGGTTTTGACTGTGTAATAAGTTTTCAGTCCAGGTGGTGTGATACTCCCTTAAGTTAGGCCATAAAATCAGGTTGTGAATCAGAGATGCTTTTGTTCAAATCACTTCCATTATCTGAGTAATTCATATACGACCTGCTACAAGTTGTCCTTTATTGAGGATGCACTATTTTTCTACTTTATTTGTTCTAATGTGTATCTTCTTATTAGTGTTGCCTCAGTGTAGTAGTCATCCTGTTAAATGCTGGCATCCATTTGACAGTTTGCATTGCTCTGACTTCTAAATCTCCTTCCTTACAACTGTTTTCTGTGGGTGCTTTGTAAATCTGACCATAGCAATTTGGAAGTGATCTCTCAATGATGTGGAGTCCTGCTCTTTACCTGAATGCTGTTACCACTGCATGGCCTGCAAGCCACCTGCAACTGCAGAATTTGTTCACACAGCACAGCATGTAGTTCTTTTCTCCAGAATATCAGTGTGATCTGTGATAGCTGCTCAAGTTACAATATTTAAAACTTGAACCGTATTTCTGGAACCATACGGAGACCTGGAAGCCTCCAGCCTTTGTGCTAGAGATTGCTGTATCTGATTTTGTTATGAACATGTTGAGAGCTGCATCTTTATTCTTAAGTTAATGCTGCAGTTTATAACTGGCCATTATGATTTGTTGAAAGACAAAGGTTTAGTGCTGGAGACTGAAAATAAATAGGATTTTACAAGAATCTCTCTATAAGTTTCGGAATCTTTTATAACTGGTGCCTGAAGCTGTCTTAATCAGTGTAATTAAAAGAAACTGTAATGTCACTGATCAAACCGTTTGCTTTCTCTTCTATTGTGTGTCTGAAAACCACAGGGCTGGGAAGAAGGAATGATGGGGATGAAGAAGGGAGGGCGAAGGTATCTCATTATTCCTCCAGCATGGGCCTACGGGGCTCAGGGAGTGGCTGGCCGTGTCCCTCCAGACTCGACTTTAGTTTTTGAGGTGGAAGTTAGGCGGGTGAGTGTCTCCTACCAAGTGTTTACATCTGCTTTGTGGCTGTTGGGCAGCAATGGCTGTGCAGGGTGAAAACCTGTTGACATAAGAACTACAGCTCAGAAACTGTTATAAACCAAATACTTCAGGAGAGTACATATCTCTAATTTAAACCCCCCCACCCATTAAAAACAAAAAAACCACACCAGAATCTTAAACCCAGAAAGCCCCTCTAGGCTGTTTACTAAGACATGTCTGTTCTAACTGTCTTGGGATCTTTTCATTGTCTTATTTGTGAGTCACTTGGGAAAACAGAATACTCAGTGAGGAATGACAGGATGTAAAGACTCAGCTTCTCCAGTTCTGAATCAGTTGTATGCTTTTGCTTGAGGTGCATAAGGTTGACAGGAGTAGTCATCAAAAATAAACAAGTTGCTGAAAACTTTTTTGAGAACCCAAAAAAATGTCTCTTTTGTTACGTGCTTTTTAAGGTGAAGTTGGTAAAGGAATGCTCTGGTTCAGATGGACAGAGTGTTGGTTTGAGGGATTCTCCAGCACCTTCTCCGGTACCCAATGCAGATGGCTTCTCTGCAGACACTGGTTTATTGCCTCCATCTACAATACCTCCAAAGCCTGGGTAAGAAGTAGCACAGCTAAAACAACTTACTGTATTAAAAGATGGCAGTGCTCATAAACATGTGGCACAATGCTGAATTAACATATCATTTTGTAAATGTGAGTTCTCTGTGTGCCAGCTTAGTGCCATCAGTGTGGCAGAGGAATGCTTGCTACCAAGAGTTGCAGGAAATTTTTTGCTTGAATGTCAACTTTCAGATTTAAAGAAATTGAAGTAGGCACAGATGAAGGAACTTACTCCTACAGCTTTACTGAGATCTAGTGTGATTAAGCTGTATGGGTACTGCTACAACTTTCTTATCCCAGGTGGCACTGTAGTCATAAGTTGGTCTGGGTCATGGCTGATTTGTTTAATTGCAAATTTTACATTGTCATTTGTTTCTTAAATTAACTAAATGGGTCAGTCATCCTTTTTAGGGAGTTCAAGTTGAAGTGCTCTTTTTGTTGTTGTACGTAGTTTGTTAATGGGCTTGATTAAAATCGTTTGAACCAGAATGTGGTCATTACAGCAATCAACAAAAATCATCTTTATGTAATCAGCTGTTCTACAGCCATGGAACTTGCCCATAATGATGTTCTGAAATCTACAGATAATGTTAGAAGGTATCTTCCAAAAGTAAGCTAGAAGAAATGCTCACGATGTAAGAAAATGGTTTTCCTAGGAGGGGGTGTATTTGACAGTATTTAGAAATGCAGAATATTGGATCCTGAATTTCATTATTGTTGATCTCCGATATCAGTATACATCTGTTTGGCTTTTCAGGGAGCCAGCTGTTCGGGCCAAGTCAAACTCCATCAGTGAACAGCTAGCAGTAAGTGTTGTTTTTTTCTTAATTAATTTGAAGCCTTAAGTAGGGAAGCTTGATTGGTTTCACCTCTGCATCCAGTTATTGGTGAAGATAAAGTGAACATCATGCAAGCAAGATGCTTTCAAATGTTCACCTTACTAACAGCAAATTAGGGCTTTGTTTTTGAAGGGATTAGCAGAACTTGAGGAACCTCAGTCCTAGTTCCCACTTATAAATGCAAAGTTACCTTGACCTTGTGGACACTCATAAGTCTAATTGTCATCTTGGATAAATGGAGAAATAAAGGGTAATTGGGACAGTCAGTATAAATTTATATAGCTACATGAGAAGAAGACTTCTTGCATGTGCCTCAGGATAGAAAAAGGTGCTAAGCGACTTCCTCAACACATTTTCTTGCTGCTGTGTTCTGTGCAGGAATAGATTTTCTGTGTAATGACAGCAGTGTCATCCCAGGAGGAGAGTATAAAGCAGGCCAGATTAACAAATCCACAGTGTTACCTTGTGTGCTTGAAAATCAGTTTTTCACACAGTCATTGAAAAATTGAAAGAACCAGAATTAAGTCAGTGATTTAGAAGAGTCTTATCCTGACAGATATCTCTGTAATGTCTGAAAAGCCGGGGCTGAGAGACAAAGGAAGAGTAACTGCAAACATTTCTTTTAGAATCCAGATGTAGCAAAGGCAAAGCTAATTTCTCGGATGGCTAAAATGGGACAGCCCATGCTGCCTTTCCTTGCCGGGACAGCAGGTAGTCAACTTGACTCCAGTGACTCGGAAATAGAGGTACATCACCAATCACGTAACTGTGACTTTTTTTTTGATGCTTTTTCTATCATGTGAATTCCTACAAGTGGGAGTCCACAGCAATAGCTTTCCCTTTGTACAGTGAAAGCGTACTCCCTTTCTGTGGCAAAAGGGTTTAATGCTTCCACTGTTCCTGTCTAGTTCAGTTGGCATAATTGGATAACACCTAGTCTTGAGTGATCTTGGGTACAAACTGTTTGCTCATTCTTTAGCATTCCTTTTAATACGCAGAAATGTTTTTAGGATCCAAATACACTGAGAGGGACAGCGCAACCGGTGGCTTCATCTTCAGTGAGACCATCGCAGCCAGCCCACGCAGTACTGCCCACAGTGTCAGCACAAGGTAATATGCTGGTGAGCCTGGGATTGGTATGGAAAAATTTCACTTATTTGGGCTTCAAGCACAAGGGCTGTACGAGTAGGGGATGCCCTTCATGAACTGAAATAGAACCTGACAGATAGCTTCTAATAAGACTTGCTGATCCAAAGCTCCATAGGTAGACTAATTCATAAAGCACAAGACTGAAGTCCTTGGAGTATGTCTTCATTGTGATCTTGTGCACGCATTACTGCTTGAGGAAGAACAGCCACAGTGCATGTGCTGCTCTGTCATCGTGTGCACTGAGGTGGCACTGAGAGTTCTAGGACATGTGATTTGTAAATGGAACTGTTACAAATCGTTTCCCGGTGAACAAAAATGTTTTTGTTTTAAAATGATGGAAGTAAGAGTGAAGGGCATCAGAGGGCTGGCAGCTCTGGAGTGGGCTTGACTTGTCTTCCCATGATGGAATAGTAATGTCAGCTGAGCTGTCTTTGGAGTCAGTCTGAGTAACATATTGTGTCAGTAAACCTCAGAACTACCTTTGTTTGAATGAAAAGAGGTTGTCTAAATGTAGCTCGAATTGGAATTTCTGTGAAAGATTACTCTTGATCTTTTATGTCTTACTTGACTGGATTTAATTTACACAAGGCTACAAACAGGCTTGTGTTAATTTTTTTCAATTTAGTGATTTTTTTTTTTTTTTTTTTTTGGCCATTTCACATTGGGTGAGTTAAATTATTTCTAGCTACTTTATGGCATCCTGAATTTCTTTCTTCCTTTTCAGTACCTCAAGCATCTGGTTCTACACCCCCAGTATCTTCTGCTGCTTTAATACCTGCAACAATACAGCCCCATTCAGCTCTGCCTGGAGGAGCACAGGGCTTTCAGGTACCAAAATGAAATCAAGGAGAATATTGGCACTTCTGTCCTTTCTCATAAGTCTTACTGTCTTCTCCATTGCTGGTAGCAAGGACTCTGTAGCAGCATCTAAGGACAAGAATCCTAGGCTGTTTCCTGTGACTCTTCTTTGGCATTTTCAGGTTTCCATCATGTGCCTCAAAATGTAATCAAAACAGGCTAATTTTCTGTTTTGCTGATGGCTTCTTAAAGCTGAACTAAGGATTAACCAGACTTTAATATCTACTTTTGTAGTAGATAAAATAAAAACTTCCAAGTACTTTTAGAGCAGATGAAAACAAAAGAATTTTAGTTTAAATTTCTCTTGCTCATAGTCTGTTTTTCTGTGAGACCTCATTTGCATACTTAGTATGATTGTGGGTCATGGTTTTTCATCCAGCAAAAGAATAATCCTTTTAAAAGGCTTGTGCTGCTGCTGCTGTAAAGTGATGCAATGTGCTTGCTGACAAGGAGACTTTGGGGGCTAAACACACGATGCGTTTTCTACATCAGATAGTGAAGGCTTAGTACAAAGCTATTGAACAAACACTTCTGTGAAGTCTAAACCCAAGCTTTTTACCGTCCGCTTTCTGTAGATATTTACTCAACATATTTTCTGGAGCTTTTGGAAATCAGTGGCCTATGTAGCATAGACGCACTATTTATTTTTAAAGGGTTCAAGCAGAGGAAGAAAACATCTGATAGTGAATAAAGCCACCAACCACAAAAAAAAAAAAACCAACCAAAAAAAAAAACAACAACAACAAAACAAAACCCCATGAAAAAAATCCCACGCTAAGTCCAAAACCAGTGTGGCATTGCATTCCTTTGGCTTTACATTTTCCTTGTGTTGAAAATGAGGATGGTGTGGGAAGTAACAAGATTTTTAAAAGATAGACTTTTCTATTTGTTGAAAGAGAAACTCATCAATAAAGTGAAGTTTTAATCTGACAGTGATTTGGATGTACTGTTTTGAAAGTTTGACCCCGATGTCCTGAATTATTCTAGAAACTTGGCCAAGTTGTATTGTACTTCTTTTTCCTTGCCTGAGAGTAAATCGATATGAGTGAGGTACTTGTGGCATTTAATGCATTCTTCAGTCTGGCTAGCTCCTGATAAGCACTCGAGCAGTAGAGTTGCAATCAAGTTATGTTGCACTTTTTGAGACCTTCCTAAGAATAGCCTTGTGTTCAGGTTAGCACAACTTCAGTGAGCTGTTCACGTGCTGATCTTTGCCTCTCACAAACGTAGGCTAATATACTTTTGCTTGAACTTCAGTGAAGAAGGTAACTTATTAAGCTGTGGTGACTTGAACACATATCTAAGCCTTGAAAGAAGACTGACTGTTATTTTCCCTACACTATGACTGTTGTGTAATTTGTCTGCCAGGTCCTTAATTCTGTTTTTCGCTTTCCAAATATCATCTTTGCTCTGGGGCTTAAAAAATGTGAAAACCACTTAAGCGTGAGGAGGGGGGGGAAATATCAAAACATACTCTGATCTGCTGAACTTGTTCTGCAAGGCATATCCAGGAATGGCATTTGCTTACCCCCAAACTGCTGCGTCTGCTTCTCAGCTCCAGCCTGTAGGACAGATGTATCCTGCGCCTTACCAAGGTATGTTTAAAAAACTGTGTGTTTTTCTGAAGGCTGCAATGCCTGCAGTAAACTGTTCATAATGATGATTTAGGTAGCAATGGTAGCATACACATACATATTCATCCTGTCTGTAATGGCATGCTGTTTTACAAATTCTTATTTTTTAATACCAGATAGGGGCAAATATTTCACAATAAATACTCATCCTTTCCTTATGTTAAGGAACTTCATGCAGTGTGAAAGGCGATGGAATTTCTAGGTGTGTTCCTAAGGCTGTGTATTACTAAAGGTATTTTTTAGCTGGTGCTTCCAGTTATAAATATAACTGTAATAGTAAACAGCTATCCTACCAGGCAGGGAAAGAATTTAAGTGTACATGTTGAGTCCTTTACTAAGTTAGAGGACACAGCCCCGCAAAAAAAAGGTGCAACATAGGAAGGACTAAAGTAATTTAAAGAACTGTTTAGGTAATCCTTGTTGGTGAAGACTTGAGTATAGCTGAACATTTCCTGGATCATTATTTTTCAGTTCGAAGTTTCAGAAACCAACCTTCATTCCTGCTGTTGGCTTGTACCTCTTTGTGTACTGCTGTTCTAGTTTGTCTGGGGGCTTCCCTCTTGTTGACCCAAGTGCTGTCATGTGGCTCGAGAATTTCCTGTAGTCATAAAACTGCCTGTTCATGTTATTTGGAAAATACCTACATTATTGATTTTCCATATACCATGTTTCTTATTTCTGGGAAGAGAGTGGCTGTCCTATCTGGCAGGCTTCAAAGTGCTAAGCATTGCTTTTGATATGTCTGTCTGCAGACATTTTCCCCTTGTGACTATAGGTCTCTCTTTTCCATTCAAGCACCTGGGGATGTTACTTCCTTTTTGATGACAGAAGCTCGGCAGCATAACACTGAAATCCGAATGGCCGTTAGCAAAGTAGTAGATAAAATGGATCATCTGGCTGCCAAGGTAAAGTATGGCATAGGCAGACTTGTTAATGAAGTTACTGCTATTTGCTCTCCAAATGTAGTCTGAGAAGTTGGCTCTGTTTAAATGCCTGCATTAACTTTGTAGGTGATGTACTAACAGCGAAAATTCCGGTATTACCAGATCTTGAAATGGTAGCAATTCAAATACTATGAAAAAGCTAAGCCCAGGGTTGGGGGGAGGTGCTGTCTTTTACAGTCTTAAATATCAATTGAATCTTACCTACACCCATAAATTAATTTCATCTGGCTTAAGAATGGTTTATCCCTGCAGGTGGAGGAGTTGAAGAAACAAAGCTCTGGTAACAGCTCACTACTGCCTGGTATCTCCTCTGTCACTATGGAAGCCTCCATGATCATGAGCAATATCCAACGCATAATCCAGGTGAGCATGGCCAGCCTTATTTGACTAGTTCCATAAGGAACTGGAGCCCACTGTGTGATTCCTAATGACAATAGCTGTACTGGCTTGGCCCAAATGTCCATCCACCCATGTGTTCTGTTTTTGCATGGCCAAAAACAGCTGCCTAGATCAGAGCATGAGATACACAATGATTTCCACCCCTCTCCCCTGAAAAAAAGCTCTTCTCAACAGTTTGTGGTTTGGGTACTATATGAGCCAGAGTTGATATATTCGTATTTAATAGGCCTTGGCAAAAGGTTCATGTGGGAGAAATTCAGCCTCCTCTTTAACAGTTATGGATTTAACCCACAGCATCCTGCAGAACATTTTCACAGCTGAAGTACCATGTTGCAAGAATCACCTACTTCTGTTTTTCATTACTTAGTCTTATGTTTTGTAGTTTTTCTAGGCAGCAGCCCTACAATCTTGGGTTTTGTGGGTGAAAAAGTAAACCAGACACAATATTCTGTAGAATATGGTTTGGCAACCACTGTCCTGTGCCAAGCTTCCTGCTAAATGTAGCACAGTGCCTTCCTGTGATGTTATGGCAGAAGGTGATGTCTCACCACTGTACTGCATCTGTACAAAACAAAGGATTAGGTACTACTGCAATGAAGTACAAGTAAGGTGAGTATTCGTGCTTGGCTATACTTCAGGAGAATGAGAGACTGAAGCAAGAGATATTTGAGAAGAGCAATCGGATTGAGGAGCAGAATGAGAAGATCAGCGAGTTGATTGAGAGGAATCAGAGGTAAGGAGTGGGAGGGTACAGCCTCTGCATTTGCAAAGACTTTCTAGCTTATGCTTGGTTAGGCATAGCTAGGAGGGAGGTTCTTTAGGGTAGAGGTATGTTCTGATAGTTAAAATTGTGGGTTTTTTAAGGCAGTAAGTGTGTGGGTTTTCCCGCTGTCCCCAGCTCTCTCTGCAGGGCATATCTCCAAAACTCTAGTTTACAGTAAACGTGAATGTGTAAAGGGGGAGAAAAAAACCCCTTATGCTGTCTTCTTTGAGCATGCTTGATTTGCTTCTGGGAGTTACTTTCCTTTTGCTAGCTTTTTAGTAAGCTGGAAGAAACTGTAGGGGATGTGCTGTCCCTAGTTTCACTGTTGGGTGTGTGTTCCATTCAGTTTAAGAAGGGGAATAACTTGTTTAAGGAAATGGTAAAGGTCAGTGGATATCAGATTATCAAAACTCTTGACTGTGTGATAAGACCATTAGACTTGTTGCACAGAGGTAAAGCACTTACACAAGCTGATACAATCCCTGCTGTGCCAGACATACCCCTTCCACCCTTTTTTGATCAGGCTCTTAGGTCAGAATATTGTGCAGAATTGTCTGGGACTTGTCATGAAGAAGACTGCATTGAAATACCACTTTTTCTATCTGAATTTGCTTCAAGTCCATGTCTTTATGTAGATGCTCATGCAGTCTTCCTCTGTTCACAGATACGTCGAACAAAGTAATTTGCTAATGGAGCAGAGGAACCATTCACTGCAAACAACGAATGAAAACACACAGGCAAGAGTGTTGCATGCAGAACAGGAGAAGGTAATGGTGACAGTGAGCAGGGCCATAGACCTCTGACTGCAGCCAGGAAAGGGGCTGCTTGTTGCACTAAAACATGCTGAAGCCTTGTTAGTCAAGGCTTTAAGTCAGTTCTCTTACAAGGCAACTGTAGTTCTGAAAGTTCTTTTGGGAAAAAAAAAAATGAATATTTTCATGACTTTCATGACAAAAGCAGCACAGAAGAGGAGATCTTTATGCTGTTATAGCTTTAATATCTTATGGGAAAGTGTCTGATTTACTGTTAACTTTGTAGGTATATGGCCAAGATGTTGAGGAATTGTGTGTATCACAGGGCTTTGTTGGGTTGAGAACGTGCTTTTAAAATTTATTTAGTTGAACTGACAATTTCAGAAGTTTTATTCCTTCTGTTTAACTGATAACATAGAGTGAATGTAGCTATAAGAAAAAATATTTCCTACTAGAGGTTCTTCGTTGCACTTTTTAATAGTAATCAAAAGCTGTTTGTTTCTGTTGTGCTCTTGTGAAAGGGGCTGTTGGGAAATAGCTTTCAAACCAGTTAAATGCACTTATGCATGGCTGCATATCCTGTAATGTCCACTTACGACAGCCTAGCCCAGGTAGGCTAGCTTTGAGGTGTGTCTCATGCTATCTTATATGCTTTCTCAAGCACTGGCTTCTTAAATTACACCAAATTCAGTCTTGCACTGTGCTACCCTGCTGAGTTGTGTATCTCTCCAATTCAAATGTGAGATGCTAAATGCTTGCTCTGCATGAGGACCACAACTCAGCACACCTAAAAATGTCAAAAACTGCAGCTTTCTAAAGTATGCTAAAGAACAAAGCAGTATATGGCTGATAATTGTATGCTGGTGTGAGCAGACTCACAAAGGAGGACTGCATTTTTCTACTGAGAGCCCAGGTTGCATGCTTGTAATACATAGGGAGTGTGAGAGATTCTAACCAGGAATAGGTGAGATTTGAAATAATAAATAAAATTCTTTCTGTTGGTGAGCACAACATCCAGCTTGTGTGATAAGTAACTTGGGGAGGAAGCATCTTTTGGAAGTATAAGATATGATCTTCAGGAATCTTTTGGGCCTCATCTTCAAAAGGACTCCACTTGATTCAGCAGTCACTGCCTAGGTGATAACACTATTACATGAGCAGACTTCAGGCTAGACCAGAAAAGCCATGACTGGCACTGGGAAATAATTCCCCCTAGTTTTGTGAGAGTATTGACTGTAAATACGAAGACTGATATTCCTTCTTCTTCCTTTTATCTAACCTAGCTTGCTCTGTGACTGCAATTGCAGAGATCCCTGATTCTATCTGTCCGCAGTGAAGAGAATTTTAAGTTATTTTATCTATTCTTTACTTAAAATAGGGATTCACCATTTATTTTGTTATATAGGCCAGACATCTGTACCCAGGATCACGGAGAAGAAGTATTAGTAGCTTGCTGCTTTTGGGTTATAGATCTTCAACCCTGGCAGAGCACATCACAGCTTTAGATGAAGGTTTCATGTACCATAATAACTAATACCCCCACTCTCCAGTGCAGTGAAACCATAGTCACATGTAGGACCAACCGCTCCTGCATCTGTGGTGTGTAATGTACCTGTAGGGATACCTTTTAGCTTCTTTCTTCTTTAAGCCAGGCTTCACTACCCTTTTCTGTGTAAGCTTTTACAGTTCTTGGAATAATGTAAAGGCTTCTCTGGCATGCTTTAGGCTCCTGTAATGAAGCATTTTGCTTTTCTGATGATGATTAATGCCTCTGCCTTTCAAGTTGTGTTCTTAACTCTTCCTGTTTCCTGTCACTGCTTTCTCTTCCTAGCACATGCTGCCAGTGGATCGGGGCTGGGACCAGGTGAGGCAGTGTGTCTGCTGACTGTGCAGGTGATAGATAATTGTGCCCTAGGTAGTGCCAGCCCAGCTTCCTCCTGAAGTAGCTAGAAGCTGATTGGCATTGAAAGAACTGCCTCAGATCTTGAATTAGCAGGGATCTTCAACTTGGAAAAGGACTTTATAAGTGGCTTCCTCTTTCTTGGGGAGCCCTTTGAAAGAACTTTGTCACATTGCTGCTCATTTCACTTCCCCCATGGGAGGAATAGGACATGATCATATAATTGTCAGAGCAGATAGAGATCACATAAGATTCTTGGTACCTGAAAGCTGGAGGCTGGAGCTGAGCTAGTATAGATATGAAGCATTCGCTACAGAAACTTACGCCTAGTAACAGTTCCTGGCATAGGATTTCCTTTTTATTTTTATTTGCCATTAAAGACAAAGGCAAGTGTTAAAATAACCTTTAGATATGTCATGGGGTTTTGTTTTTAGCATGCTAGGAGTTAGTATCTTGAACTGTGGTGAGACATTCATAGAAACATAAGAGGAAAGCAGATCTGGTTTTAGCCAGTCTCTGTTGAAATGCTGCCTCCTCTTTAAAATCAATGGTGTACCATCCTAGCCAGTATCATCCTCGCAGTAGTTGGAACAGTTTTGCTTACAGCTCTTCTCTGTCAAAAGGTGGTGGTCCTAGTCTGAAGAGAAATGCTTTAGCTCTCTTGCGGGGATAAAGCAGAGAAAAACTCCAGTTTTCCTAAACTGATCAGTTACATGAAAATGAAAGCCTGTCGGGAATCTGAATGTAGGCATAGATATAGAAGTTGTTTAGGTATTCCCTACAGCACATGAGGTTTTCTGATGGGTATAGTTCTGTCTTTGCAGAGCATCCTCTGAATTTTGTGTCATGCAACAAGATTGGGAATGTGACTTTGTGTCTTTGTCTTGATGCCTGGAGCTTCTCCTAACATATTGTTTACAAGTTGTCTAACAAGCTGCGTTAGTACCTAGTTTTACATGAGTCACTGATTTTGAGCAGTACTAAATCTAAACAGGTCAACAAATTACTGTGAGAACTATGCTCCAAAACGACAGGTGTGCCCGTGAGGACACCTTGGGGTGACTACGTGCTGTGTGCTCTAGAGAGAAGGTGCTCTTTTGGCTGGAACAAACCTGTGTTTTGTGTGGCTTTTCAGTGATTTGTAAGCTTATTGAAGATAATTAGCGGTTGGAGCTCGGGCTTTTACTCGAATAGGTGTTGTCATAGCCTGAAAACTCTGAGCAGAGCCACCAGGCACTGGTACTAGCCTTAAAAAACACATTTGGGCTTTTCAGGAAAATGCACTGAGTTGACCTAATGTGTTGATGAGGTTGTTGGTGACCTCACGCAACTTTGTAGTCAGTCTGGACAGGTTACAGCCAAATGACTTAGAGTAACATGGTGAAAAAGTTACCGTTATCTCTTCAATTTGGTGATGCCTGTGAGGTGCTGGATCCCAGCACTTCTCTGGCAAGGTCTCCAGTACTTTATCAGTTCTTCCTGTGAGAACAGGTCAGGCACCTCCTTGCACTCACATATTGGTTTTTTTTCTCCCTTTTCCCTGCTCCATTTTGTGATACAGGCCAAAGTTGCAGAGGAATTAGCAGCTGCCACAGCACAGGTTTCCCAACTGCAGCTGGAGCTGACTGCCCACCAGAAGAAGGAAATGGATCTGCGGAAGCAGCTGTCTGCTGCCTTGCAGGAGGCAGAGCGACATGAGATACAGCTCAACAAACTGCAGGCACAGTTAGCAGGTAAGGCGTCTTGTGTCTGTCCCACAAGAGCTCCTTTATGTCATTCTTTTTCCTCTTCTATATGTCATAAGTTTTTCTTTTCCTCTGGGGTATTTATTCCTGCTTTCCCTACGATCAGTCACAAAGGTATCAAGGAAGGATATTGATGCACTGAAATGTCTGAAGAGTATGTGCATCTTTGTTACCACTAAAAGGAAAGCAGGACAAATCAATGAACAAAATCATCCTGTCACAGGGATGCCTTTTGTAGAAGCAATCTTTTGGCATTACTGTCTAACATCTTGTAGAGAAACCAGAGACGTTCCAGTGGTTGAAAAGTTAAGATAAAAGCTGAGTTATAAGCATTGCTATTTCACAGAAGAAGTTCTTGATAAATTCTAGTTCCCACTGCAGGTGCAAGCCATGTTGTTGATTTTTATTGTACAAGAGGCACTGTTCCTTCCCGTCAGCCCCCAAATGCACTAACCTGAAGTATACGTAGTGCTGAAACCCCCAGTAAAGTGTATTTTTATAGAGCTCCAGGAGACATCTGAGGATGCTCAAACTAGATTCAGAGCTGAGAAGCAGAGCCGCAAACAGCTGGACATGAAACTTACAGCATTGGAAGAAGAGCTAGCAGACCTAAAAGTGGAAAAGGAGACACTTGAAAAGGTATGCCCGGTGCCAGCATTATAGAGATGCAGGGTGTCAGTTGTTTGCTGAAATTTAACCCAACATTCTTGATTGTAAACATGCAAGTTAGGTAAATCTTGAGTCATTTTCAGGCAAAGATCCCTGTGCTGGTGGATCCTTTGTGCTTACATGATTTTTGGGGGGTTTGGTTTTGTAAAATATTTTAGCCAGTAATATGTTAATCTTCTTCTAAAATAATCTCAGTTTGATTTTAAGTTGATAAGATTGCCTGCTCAAAGAAGCTCTTTCTGCATGAGAAAGAAAAGCTACTTTGGTGCAGTCTGGCCTATTCTGTGTTCTGTTCTGTATTGCAGAATCTTGCAGAGAGGAAGAAGAAATCCCTCTCAGAGAGAGCTCAAGCAGAGGAAGAGATGGAAGAAATACGCAGATCGTATCAGCAGGAACTGGACACGCTTCGACAGTTGCTGAAAAAGGCAAGGGCTTCGACTGACCAGGCAGCCGCAGAGCAGGTGAGGAGTTGTGGAAGCTTCTCCAACAAGTATCTGAAAGGCTTGTAGGAACCTACAGGCAGGAACTAGTCATGAAAACGCTCAGGTAGTGAAAGAAAGAAAACATTATCTGCTTGGGTTTAGGGGTTAATTTTAACACAGGGTTCACTTTGTAGTATTTCTAAAATATCTTGGTGTTTGTTGGCCCTGCTTCTGACTTTGAGATTTACACTGATGCCTCTCTAAGGAAGTGCATGATTTCAGTAGGCAGGAAGGCTGCTGGGTCACAGTTGTTCTCTGACTCGAATCACAGGCCACTGGTGTGGCTGCAGGGTTTTGAGGCAGCATTAATGCAGGCTGGCACACAGCGTCAGGTTTGGACTGTGTTACAGAGCATGTCAAACCGAGGAAAGGAGAAGCACCAATTTGGAGTTCACAGTAGAGAGAAGAATACAGGACTGCTGATGAGTGAAAGACTGCTTAGAAATGTGCCAAGGGCTCTGAAATCTGAGCCAGAGGGATTGTGGGCAGGAGCTGGTGACAGCAGCAGGGCTGCTGTCTGCATGTGGGTATTCCAGCCTAGGGCAGGAGATGTTGGCTGAAAGCTTGGAGCTAGACACTTGTGCAAATACAGATTGTGTCTGTGTGTGTTCCTAATGATCTCTTACATGATGAGCAGCTATCACTCATCCAGGCAGAGCTGGAATCCCAGTGGGAAGCCAAGTGTGAACGTACGCTGGCCTCTGCCAAGGAGCAGCATGTTAGACAGTACCAGGAGGTGTGTGAGCAGAGAGATTCCCTGCAGCAGCAGGTGTCCCAGCTGGAAGAGAAGGTAAAGGGCTGTTCTTTATTGCTGAAATGTGGTGCCAGGCAACCAGTAACACTAACCAGGAGTCCTTTCCTACCTAATTGTGGCTTGACTTTTTAATTTATTGACTGCTAAGGAATTTGGTCTTGTCCATGTGATGCGTCTGTACTTGCACCTATTACGTTGGGTTGGTGGGCTAGGGAATTTACTACTGCAGTTCTGAATGAGGGAGAGCCAAGATGATGTCAGTCTTGGACTAAAGCAACAGCTACAATCTCTTTTGCTTATCTGTGCTCTTCTGAGTGACTGTCTTTTGAGCAGAAACTATTTTGAAGTCGGTGGCACTGAAAGAGGCTGTAAACTGATGGGCTCTAATTCTTGTCTTGCAGCTTGCGGCTCTAAAACACTCAAAAGAAGCAGAGGAACAGAAGTTGTCTGAGTTTCAGCAACGTTTGGAGCAACTAGAGCCTATCAAAGAGAAGGTGAAAGGAATAACACAGCGGCTAAATATGAACTGGGGTGCTGTAATCACTACCCTCAGGTTACCAGTGTCCAGAATAACAAGAACATGAGTTTCAGAATATGAAAGGGAAGGAATAACTTCAAGTTGTTTCCAGCAAACCAGAACAGGTCCAATGATAAAACCCAGCCCACATTTCACTGGGATCTCAGTAATGCTATGCCCAATTTTGGTGTTACTTGAACTTGAAGAGCTAATGACACAGTTGTGGACCTCCAAGGTTTTGGCTTGGTTGGATATCTTTATTTTGGTGCTGTTACTTTCAGCCAGGTCTTTTACAACTCTCTGTCAAAGCCCTGCTTCAAACTGCACTCGACAATTTACCCCTCACTAAAAATTGGTTTACAGATAACCTATCCATTGCAGGGTTCTTTGTGGTGGTGTTGGTGAAGCTTCTAACTTCCACTTTCCCTTTGGCAGTATTCAGCCTTGCAGTCTGATGTTGTGGTGATGAAGGCTCGCTATGAAGGACGCATCCGAGACCTGGAGAAGGATCAGGATGGATCTTCACCTGCAGGCTTCACAGAGGAAGTGAGCTTCACTATCCAATGTTTCTCCTTACTAAGCAAATCTATTTACCTTGAATTATTTCTCTTTGAGCCTAAATAAGAAGGGAAAACATGATTTTCTCCACAGAAGCCCTGTGTTTCTAGTAGCAGGGTCTGTGGAGGAAGAAAATACATAATCTTCCTGCTGCCCACTTTACTGTTTGATTATTGTGGGGGGAGGTTTTTAGGTTAAAACTTAATATTTGAGGTTTAGATGTAAACCAATGAAAGAGTAATAAGAAATAAGTATCAGTCTGCCTTGTGCTTGTGTGACCTGCCTCAGTTTTGACGGAATGGATTTGGTGTGTATATATGTATAATGGTTCTGAATTATAATGGCACGTTGTATTCTGCTTTGGTATGGGAATTTCTGATTTGAAAAGTGGATTCTTTGAAAACCACATGTTTGGATTTACTGTTCCTTCACCTGGAGAAGTATCTGATGCTGAGTCCACTGCTTCACATGGTAACAAATTGTATCTTTGTTTCCTGTCTTGCTCTTTTCTAGGTAAAGAAGATAATGAACGGTGTATTTCAATCTCTTCGGGGTGAATTTGAGCTGGAAGAGACGTACAGTGGCAGGACAGTTCTGGGTGTTGTCATGAACACTATTAAGGTACAACAGTGATAAGAGATACGAGGTGACCAATGCGAGAGAATGAGTCTTGGTCTAAAAACCACAATTTTACGTTGCAAGTCTGAAATAACTGAGGCAGAAATTTGTTGTGGGTGGCAAAGCAGCCCAGTAGTAGATGATCTGTGATGGTTTATGTTTAGGGTATAACATATGTTCTCTCTGCTCAATTTTTTAGACTGTAACACTGCAGCTGCTCAACAGGCAGCAGGAGAAACCAGATCGTGACAGTGAAAAGGAGGAATCTGGAACAGGAGCAGTGAGACAGAGATCGTGTGGAGCAAAGACGGATCACGAAGAGCCGATGCAGCATAGCCCGGCACAGAGTGATGCGTTCCCAGCTGATCCTGGGGAAGCAACCACAGGCCCCATGGTGTCTGACCAGGAAGGCAGGTCTGCCAGGCCCAGAAGTCCTGAGGAGGACCAGGTGACACAGAGTAGTGGGGTGTCAGAAGAAGAGAAGGTCCAGGGGGAACATCTCTCTTCCACAGCTGAATCCTGCCTGCATCCTGATAAGGAGCCAGTACTTGTGGGACAGACTGTTCCTGAGGTGGATGAGGGCTTTGTCCCACCTGAGCAAAGGCAGGAGAGCAGTCCCATCGGGAAAGCTGAGACTGAACACAGTCCCTCCAGAGTATCTTTGCAGGCAGAAGTTGCAGAATCTTCTGTTGCAGAAGCCAGGCCAGGAGAAGTGGATGTGGCAGTGCTTCCAGAAAAGCCAGCTGCGGAGCAGAAGGCGGAGGAGCCTGTGGGAGGTTCAGAGCCCCCTCCCTTAAATGGTGAGGGAGGGAACTGCACAGACCCATCAGGTGGAGCTGGCTCGGAGATGGAGCCTGCCTTAGGATCCAGCACAGCAGAGCTGAGCTCAGCTATCGTCCGAGAAACGCCAGGAGAGCAGCAACTGGGCTCCAGCCCCAGGCAAAAAGATTCCAGGTAAGGTCTGACTGCTGGGGTAGCCACAGGCCCGGCTCCCGCTGCTCAGCTCAGGCTGGTACGGCAGCACACCCCAGGCTGGGGCAGCTGTGCCCCTGCTGCTGCTGCAGGGCTGGAGCAGCGACACGGCGCCGGTGCTGGCAGAGGCCGGGCTGGCCGGGCACGCTCCGCTGGGGGAGCGGGCGCAGAACGGGCGGGTGTCCGGGTGGAGGCAGTGGTGCCACCATCCCTGGCGAACGGTTCCCCGCCGAGCGCAGCGGGGAGCGTGCAGTTTCTCTAGAATGTTGGTGGCTGACAGATCCCAAGGTGGATTGTATGTGCCTTAAGTTTGCCTCAGCGACAAACCTTTTTTATCATTCTTTAATGTAACTTGTAAAACCAAGATCCCATCATCTACAAGGAAATTGTTAATTCTTTATCTTCTTCCAGCCTCTTTGAAGATGACAACTTCTTTGAAACAGCATCTCCTAAACCACTGAAGCCTCGAGTTCCCTCTGAGGAGGATGATGAGGAGGAAGTGGTGCGTATTTGTATCTTTCTACTCCTACTAAACTGGCTCAGGCATTAACCTGTAGCTTGTTTGTGAAATCCTTCCCATGGCAATTGGGCGACTGACTGGCTCTGCTAGCTGAGCTCAGGGCTTCCCATATGTTCTCTGTATAAATCAGGACTATCTGGGTTTGTTTATTGTTGAGCTTGGAGGTGTTGTGGTTTAACCCCAGCCAGGGGCTCAGCCCCACACAGCCGCTCGCTCACACCCCGCACTGGGATGTGGGAGAGAATCAGAAGAGTAAAAGTGAGAAAACTCATGGGTTGAGGTGAAGACAGATTAATAGGTGAAACAAAAGCCACATACACAGGCAAATCAAAACAAGGAATTCATTCACCCGTTCCCATCACAAACAGGTTCAGCCATCCCCAGGGTAGCCGGGCTCTGTCACACATAATGATGACTTGGGAAGACAAACACCATCACTCTTGAGTGTTCCCTCCTCCTTCCTGCAGCTCCATACCCTGAGCACGACGCCGTACGGTCTGGGGTGTCCCTGGGGTCAGTCGGGGTCACTGTCCCGGCTGTGCCCCCCAGCCACTCGCTGGTGGGGTGAGGAGCAGAAAAGGCCTTGACTCTCTCTAAGCATGGCTCAGCAATAACAAACATCCGGTGTTATCAACATTATTCTCATCCTAAATCCAAAACACAGCACTGTACCAGCTCCTGGGAAGAAAATTAACTCTGTTGCGGTCAGAACCAGGATGGGGGTGTTGCCTGAGCTGAGGCAGTGATGACAGACTCCTGTTGGCATGAAGTTAGTGAGGCTTGCCAGGTTAATTGAGGGGTTTTAGTGTCTTGCCTCTCTCCTATCCTTTTTAGCCTGTAAGCATCTCTCCTGGAATATTAAGACACAGTGTGAGAAATACAAAAACTTCTTGATGTCATCTCCTTAAAGCTGACACAGATTTTGGAGCCAGAACTGTGTAGTGATTTCTAAATACTGGGAAGCTGTTAAGACTGACAAGTTTCCTTCTGGTTTGACTTCCAGAGCATGAAGGGGCGTCCCCCTCCAGCTCCACTCTTTGGTGATGATGACGATGATGATCTGGACTGGCTGGGGTGAAGAGCTGGCCGGTGAGCCTGTGAGCCCTCTCCTCTGGTCATGGCCTCTTCCTGTGCGCTGAGCACTTAATGAGCTGCATCCGCGGGACAGCTGTGAACAACCAGGGACTTCTCAGGCTCTTGTACTGCAGCCTGCTGGGGCCTGGGAGCAGGAGGCTCTTGTTGCACTCTTGAGCGCTCAGATCCATCGCTCTGACCTGGCAAACGTGCGCAGAGGTTGGGACAAGCTGAAGGAATAACCAACCAGTCTTACTGCATGTTTGTATTGCTGTCCTACTTCTGTAAACTGTTGATTCATTAACCTGAAACTTTATGCAAATATGAACTCTGTAAAGTGCTTCAGAAGAACAAATCTGGCAGGACCCTGCACTAGGCAACTACTTTTTAGGAGAAGACAGACTGAAATCTTGTCTTCTTGCCCAGTGAAGATCTTGGAATATTTCTTCTGGTCCCCGGGGTGGCTCCCAGGGACTCTACCCCCTCTCAGCACCACGTATGAGCAAAGTGCAGCGGGAGATTTGGCCGGGAGAGCCCAGGCCGGTGTTCCCCGTGAGCCGTGGGCGCTGAGGGGGGGTGGGTGGGCAGTGCTGTGCGTGGGGCTCGCTGACCCGGGGCCCCACTAGCGGTGCTGCCCGCCGGGGCTCGGGCAGAGCCGTGCTCCAGCCACAGATGCAGCATCTGGTCATGGCTGCTGCAAGAAGCCAAATCCCCAGCTGTGTTTTTCAGAGAGCCTCAAGGCTCACAGAGACCTTGCGAAAGTTCCTCACTGTGCAGCCAGCTTGTCTCCTCTCTCTCTGTGTCCAAAGGTGAGATTTTATTTTTTTTTTTGCTGGGTAGTTTCACTGGCAGTGAAAGCAGCACTACAGATGCATAATGTGCTTCTCATCTAGAGAGTTTCTGCAGACAGCCAAGCCCATCTCCTGTGCCTTTTTCTTTGCTGCTGTTCAAAGCATGGTGATCATAGCACAAGTTAAAACTTAGTGATGGTGGGATGTAAGCTATAACCCACCTTCCCCTGGGCTCTGCTGAGCAGCCAGGGGGTTGGGGTATAACTTTTCAGTCTAAGTGGATGAGGAGAGGAAAGCAGTGAGGCTAGACAGCTGGGCAAACACGTTGGATTTCTCATAGCACTTTTACACTCATTGGCACTAAAGCAACTTAAAACTATGAGCAGGTCTGTGTCTTTAAAACAAATAACCCCCCTTCGTTTAATAAAATGGAAGTGCTTAAAATAACTCTACTACAGTTTAGTTTTTACAACTGTCTCTTATCAACTGAATTTGATCTGTGCCCTCCTAAATGTGAGTTTTTGGGAGGAACAAAAAAAAAGGCCACTGGGCATTCCTGTTCTGGAGTGTAGCAGTGGGGCAGGTCCCTGCCCTGCGCCGCACACTCAGTGCGGCAAATTGCCAAAAGGAGCTGAAAATGGTGCAGGAGAGCAAAGCCAACCTGCTGCCACACAGGGTAAACAGCTGGGGCTTCCCAGGGAGCCACTCCAGAAGTCAAAGCACTGAACAGTTATTCGGTGCGGAATGTGACGGTGTGTGAAACATGGATTTTCTGGGGTTCCCCTTCCTTGTGCTGGTCTGAGTGCAGGTACCCTGATGCGGCCTCTGCACCCCCCGCCTGTGGCAGTGTCCTAGCAGAGGTCATTGCTAATACTAACAAATTCCGGTTCTTGTTTCCCTTTACAGATAGACAACCTGAGGGATTTGCACTTCACTTCTTGAAAAATAAAGTGCAATTGAACCTGTATTTTTTGCTTCATGGACTTTACTTTAGCAGCTTTTATTTACTTCATCTATCTCTATGCATCTGAAAACTGACTTAGGTCTGACTCAAATCAGGAATAATTTGATCTAGAAACTATCCTGGGACTGTTCTTGCTGTTACACCTCTCTCCTGGGAAAGGAGAGAAGGTTCCTTTGTGCTGTGACTGCAGCTTCTCGGGCTGTCAACTTGCAGGGTGTTGGTGTGAGAAGCTGAAGTACAAAAGATAATCGCGGCATACGCAGGGGTCTCATCTGGTTCTCCATCAGGCTTGAGGGGAGAGGAACCTCCGGCATCTTCCAAGGGTTTCCAGCAGCCTGGTCTCTCCTGAGCTGGCTCAGTGGGTGCAGGAGGGCGCCTGCTCAGCAGCTCCTACCTAACGGCGGCTCTGCTGGGCCTGTGCTCTGGGCAGAAGTTGAGAATTGACACTTGTTGCTCTAACTGCAGGCACAGCGGGTGACACAACCCCTTCCCCACGGTGGCATCTCCCTCTACCTACACCTGTAGCTCCCAATTTTTTTCTGGCTCAGTCTGACTGAAAATAAACCATGGTTGCCCTCTGTGCCCGTAGGCATGCCTGCCTTGGGTGCAGGAGGGCTGGAGACGCTCTGGGGTTCCTGGGGGGACGGCAGGCTTTGGGAATGATGGACGTGCCTGGTCCTGCAGAGGGAGCAGATGCTGCCGGGGGGGCTGTGAAGGGGTTATTTCTGCTTCTGGGTGCTGGTTTTTGACCGGGAGGTGGGTGTGCTGTGGAGGGAGGGACCTGGGTGAGGCTGTGCCCCAGAGGGTGCTGCCGGGTGGAGATGGGGCTCAACACCTGCTCGCCCCAGGGGCTGGGGGAAGGGGGGGGGATTCCCTTCTCCCTGCCCGGGCCCCGGTTGTCGCCCCCAGCCCCGGCCCGGCCACGCGTGGATCTTGGTGCCAAACTCTCCCTGCTCAAGTGCACAGAAAAACAACCAGAGACAGCGCTGGGCCCATGTCTGTCTTTAATGGCTCACACCTCTGCGGGGCCGTGCCCTTCCCCAGCAGCAGCACCAGGCTCTCCTCTCAAGGGGAAGGCCTGTTTAATTGCTTTTGCACGGTTTTACCCACAGAAAAGCGCGATGGGCTCCTTCCCCTTCCCTTTCACCTGATGAGATGGGCTGAAGCACAGCCCGGGGGGGGGTTCCAGCCTCTGGGACTGTGACACCGGGGCGCGTGCGTGGCCCCGTGCCACCACACCTGCCGAGCTGCTGCCGGGGGGTCTGGAGTGGCCGGGAACATGAACTCAACGTAAGCACAGCCAGACCCCGGGGGGGGCGAGGGAAAGTGCTGCAATAAGTTAATTTTTAAAGAGTCTGATGCCCCGGGGTTTGTGTGTGGGGCAGCCGAGTGTCCTGCGGGCCCCACATGCCGGGGCTGGATCCTGCGAGGTGCTGAGCCCTGGCCTTGGCCCTCTCCCTGCCGAGCCGTCCGTGGCCTGAGAAGTCTCTGACCCAGCGCCGGGTCCGTCCCGGCTGCCCCCGGGGAGGCGTCGGGGGCGGCTGCGCTGCGGGCCTGGGAGCCCCTCTCCTCCGTCTGGACCTACTTGAGGAAGACGAGCAGGAAGAAGGTGGAGACGATGAGGACGAGGATGCCGGCGGCGAAGCCAAGGCGCAGGTTCTCCATGGAGGCGAGGGGGGGCTGCGTGTCCAGCAGCAGCCCCCGCCCCGGCAGCCCCAGCACGAAGGCGCCCGGCGCCTCGGAGCCGCGGCGGAGGCCGCAGGGGGACACCATGCCGCTCACTGCGAAGACGGGGGCGTGAGCCGCAAACGCCACCTCCGCGGCCACGGAGCGCGCCGAGGCTTGGCGAGTGTCTGGAGAGGCACCGCTGCCTTCCTCCTCCTCCTCCTCCTCCTCCTGCTCCTCTTCCTCCTCCCCGGGGGGGGTCCCCGAGGCCGGCGTCGCCCTGGGCCCACCCCGAGCCAGCTCGGGCACCAGCGTCACCGTCCTGCAGAAGGGGCAGGTGACGAAGGCGACGGCGGCGGCGCGGCAGACCAGCTTGCGCAGGCAGCTCAGGCAGAGGGAATGGCGGCAGGACAGCTGCTGGGGGGCTCGGCCCCCCCCGGCCCCCCAATACGCCTCGTAGCAGATCCCGCACTCCTGGCCGGCCTCCGGCCCCCCCGCCATGGTGCTGCGGGGCGGCGCAGCCCGGCGGCCGCTGCTTTTGAAGGCGGGAGGCGGGCGATGGCCGTGCCGGGGGGACACTAGGGGGGGCGAGGGTGGCCGCCCCCCCCCCACTGAACTTCAGTCTGGCCCCAGGGTGCCCGGTGGGCGCTGGAGCAGCACGCTCCTCCTCCGCCGCACTGGGTGCTGCCCCAAAACCACTTGTTTTTCTTTCCCCTTTCCAAATCCATTATATCCTTAATATTTAAGCACAATGTGGTGGTGGTGGTGGGGGGTGTTATTACTGTTATTTTAGGACGAGCTCACCACAACAGCCCCCTCTGCCCCCGTCTCACACCAGACCCGGGGCATCTGTGGCACCCGGCCCAGGAGGTGGCCCTGGCCAGCAACGGGCACAACCATCTTGGGGTTCAGGTCGGCCTCGGGGCTCACGGCAGGCAGGGACGCGCTGACGGCGCGAGGTGGTTGTGCTGCACCAAGGGCGCTGCCTGAGTTTGGAGGTGGGTGGAGGGCAACCATGCTTTTTTTTTTTTTTTTAATTTATTTTTTTTATTTTTCCCTTCAGTCTCTGAAAATGCCTTGCGCACAGCCCGTGGTGACACAGCCCGGGGTGACACAGGGCATCGCGTGGTGGGGACGAGCTGGCAGTGCCCAGGCTCCCCGGCTCCAGCTGCCCCCGGCCGTGGCCGAGCGGGTCTGGCCCCGCAGCCGCCCGGCGCTGCGGTGCTGCCGGGGCTGAAGGGCAGCCCCGCTCCGCCGGTGCACCGGGAAAACCCGCCACTTGTTTACGGGCAGGCAGCGGACCTTGCCCTGAGCTCCTGTCACTCATTACCGCCCCCCAGCACGGCCCGGGGGCACGAAGGCCACCGGCTGGCACCGCTGCGCCGAGGGGCCAGGCTGGAGGGGCCGGCTGCAGTGTCGCTGCTGCTCTCAGGGCAGGGGCAGAGCTGGGGGGGTTTGGGGGGGTTTCTCCTTCTCCCTGCCCAGCCCCACACGTGGGGCTCCCAGCGTGGTCCCTGAGGGGAGCAGGACGGCTGGGGGGGGGGGTCCCCTGTGGTGCCGGGGCTCTGCAGAGGGTGGGGGGAGACCCATCACCCTCCCTGCTGCCTTGCTGTGCTCCATCCATCCCTCGGCAGGTCGGCACCCAGCACCTTCCTCCTCCTCCATCCTGGGGAACCCCCGGTGCCTGCACCCCGGGTGGGCGAGGGGGGAGCCCCTCCGAGAGCCTTCCTGCCCTCATTTGGGCACCCCTGCCAGGGCTCCCCTCGCTGCACCCCAATCGCCAGCAGCTCTCCCGCATCCCCCCCCCACGGCCCCACCCAAGCACCCAGCAAAGTCCCAGGCTGGGACCTGCCAGCTCCTACGTGCAGCAGCAGCTCAACACGGACACAGAGGCCGCAGAAGGGAAACGTCCCCAGGGCTGTCCCCAAAGAGCTGCTGGTGGCACCGGCCACCTCCACGAGCCCACACGTGCCCCGCAGGGACACTCTGCACGGGTGGAGCACACATGAGGTGACCCCACCAGAGGGTCCGAGGTCTCCCACTGTCTGGAAGTCCCTGGCAGTGAGCAACTCCCTCGGAGAAAGCCAAGATCCTCAGATTCTTCCCCCTTTGATGTGGGAGGGGAGGAGGTGACACCAGGACAGCTGGGCACGTGGCAGCTCTGCCACTGCTCTGCAGCCTCCGGCTCTCAAGTGTCCTCCCCCTCCAGAAGGAAAAAGGCCACAAACAACCACCAGCAGAAACCAGCTGCTTTTTAATAGCTTCTCCTGGAGGAAGGGCTGCGGTGGGATCAGGCTTATCTCTGCATTTTATACTTCAAGGTCAAGAGATGAAATACAGGCTGGGCACGTTACTTATTAATGACGATGGCAAACTCCCCGCACGCCGATGCACAGCCCCAGCCCCAGCCCCAGCCCACCCCCTCGCTGCTGGAGCCAAGCTGCCTGGCAGGAGGCAGCAACACTTTCTGCTCCCAACATGTGTTTTTTGGCTGAGGGGTCCCACCGGGCTCCTCTGGCCGGCGCGGGTCCCTCGAGTCCTGGAGCCACTGCAGACCCTCCCCTACAACTGGAGCCTGAATTAGGGGTTGGGGAGCCCCTCGCCCTGCCACCCGCTGCCCCTGGCTGCAGCCTCAGACATGCTCCCGTGGGTCACCAGAGCAGAAGCCCCAGACCTTTGGCACGACATAGGTGCAAGGCACTGTCAGCAGCCCCGAGCATCGCGCACCCGGGCTGTGTCCTCCCACGGGAGATTCACCCACCTTCGGGCGACAGCACTCGTGCAGGAGCACGGCCGTGCCCCGGCCACAGCACCGGGGCTGCAAGGTCACGGCGGCTTCAGGGATGGCACTAACTGTGCCCCTGCTGAGCAAGGGGCGTTTCTGCAGCCAAATACATCAGCCAGAGAGGAGGGGCCACAGGTACACCCAGCTCCATCGCCCAGTGCTGCCGGGCAAGAGGATGCTGGGCGGGCAGGCAGGAGGGGGGACACAGATGAAGAAGGAACCCAAAGCAGAGGCTGAGAAGCCGTCGGGGAACGTGGAGGATGCTGAAACTCCTGGGTGCAGCCTGCAGCCAGCCCGGGGCCGCGCCCGGGGAGGGCAGTGCTGGTCATGCTGTGTGAGTGTCTGTTTAATACTGACACGGAGCAGAATTGGGGCAGCGCCCCGGGAGGGGGTGACGGGGGCTGTGCTGGGCAGCCTCACCTTCCGCCGCCCCGCCTAGCCGCTGTGGAAGATGCGGATGCGCTGTGCGATGTCCCTGCGGCACAGGGGGCAAGTGCGCAGCCGCTCGCAGCAGGTCTGGCAGCAGCAGACGTGGCCGCAGGGCAGGAAAATCATCTGGGTCTGGGGGAAGAGAGAGAGCAGAGGAGACGGAGCGTTGCTGTCCCGTAACGCCCATCCCAGCACCGCTGCGCTCTAGCACAGGAGGAAAAGGGGCTGGGGGAGCTGGGGGTCACCCGGGGGTGTCACAGCGTGGGAGGCAGAGCCCCGCACCACCGGCTCCATCCCCGGGCAGAGCCCAGTGCTGTGTGTGCACCAGGGCCTGGGCTGTGCAGCGGGGCTGAGGGAAGGACCGAACGGAGCAGCCCCACGAACGCTCCCCCCGGCCGCTCTGCAGACCGACCAGCACAGGAGCCCCACGGGCTCCTTCCCTTCCCAAGCCCGCGGGGAGCCCGGCCCTGCCCTGCCCGCGCCCCGCTGCGACGCCTCAGCCAGGCCCCGCTGGGGAGCCGGAGGGACGAGCAGCCGGGCATCGCCCAGGGCCCGGCTGGGGACGCAGATACGGGGGGACGTGCTGGATGCTGCCCTCGCTCCAGCCCCGCGCCAGGGTCTCACCTCCTGCTCCATGCAGACAACGCACTCCGACTTCTTCTCGTCCCACCGCAGCGGCGGAGCCGTCGGGACGAGAGGGCTCGGAGGCTCCTCGAAGGGAGCGCTGGGTTCTGGGGCTGCAGGGACCTCGGCATCCACCGTCCTCAGCAGCTCTGCAACCACAAGCAGGAGGTCTGAGCACCAGGAGAGCTGCCCATCTCCCACCCACCCGGCGTGCGCGGGGCTGGCTGCAGGCAGACGAGCACTCGGGGCTCTGATAAATAAGAAAGTCGATGGCACCAGCTCGACAGCGCGGCCTGAGCTCTGCCAGCGCTCCGTGCCCTGCCCCTCCTCCTCACACACCAGCCCTGCACGGCTCCGCTCCCCGCAGCCGGGCACCTGGCCCTGCAGGTCTCCCCACTCGAGGCTCAGGCGCCTGCTGGGAGTGTAAAAGTGGTCAGAGACCAGGCAGAAAAGAACTGGTGGTACCTGGGATCGTTTTGGCCACCGCCAGGATCTCCTGAGCTCGCCTGAGGATGGCACGCTGCAGGCCAGCCTCCGTCACGCCGATCTGCGGGGCAAGAGGAGGGCTGTTAGCGCTCGGAGGGGAAAGGAGACGCCCGTCCCAAAGGGGACACTGCAAACTCTTGGGCCTCGTTGGCAAGAGCCGGCCATGCCAAGGGCAGCACCACCATCGGGTGTCAACGCCGGAGAAGGGAATTCCCCTGGTGCCATTTCTACTACAAAGAGGATCTGAAGGATGTTGACAGCAGCGCTAGCACCTCTCCTTGCTGGGAGGTGACACACAAGAGCACCAACACCCCCTCCTGCCGCGGGCACAGCCACGAGCGCTGTCAGGCTCAGAGCAAGGGCAGGTTCAGCCGGTGTATTTGCTGTCTCGTACCTTTTCCAGGTCACTGGCAGTCATGGTGCTGAGTGTTTGCAAGGATATTTGATGGTGTGCAAAGACTGGCACATACTGTTCAGCAGACAGCTCGATTAAAAGGTTCACCAGCTGCCGCTCCAAGCCCTCCTCCTGCAAAACACAAGGCAAGCTCCCAGACTTCGCTCTCAGGAAAAAACACGGGGACAGGCACCAGCATGGCTGGCAGCAAGAGCAGGCAGCGTGCTCATTCCTGCCCTCTGCCCCACTCCAAACATTTTGCATCCCCGAAGCCACTAAAGCCCAAAAGCCCAACAGCCACAGGAGCTCTGGCCCTGGGTGTTTTATGAGCACAATTCAAAACACTGCGTTTTGGGAAGAACGAAACATAACCATTTTGGCAGGCAATGTCTGCAACAGCACCTGCTCCGCATGCAGCACGGGCAGAGCTCAGACCCATCCCTGTGTGGCTGCTCCCATGGGTATTTTAACAGCACAAAGTCATGGCTCAATATGTTAGGGCAGGAATAAACAAGAGTTGCTGCATTCAGACAGATTTGCAGGGGAATTTGGGAAACCAAGCAGAGCTGTTTGGGCATTCAGCTGGAATAAAAAGCCCTGCCTGGAAGGTGCTCAGCATCCCCTGCTCCTGGCAAGCAGCCTGACGGTGGGATGGCAGCTCCCGCGGGCGGACAGCCCGGGCAGCTCCGTAACCACCAACGTACGGATTGAGAGAGGGCTGCTGGGCTAAATGCAGGGCGGCCCGGGGGCTCCCCTGGCTTGTCAGCCCGTGCGAGGGCTCTGAGCCCTGCTCCCTGCCTCAGCTGAACCTGTGGGTCCAGGCAAGGCTGCCTTCGGTCCCGCCCCGTGCTCTGCAGGGCAGCGCACAGCTACAGTGAAAGCATCAACTGCAGCAGCGACCTGGAGCTTCAGGGAGAGGGGCTTCTGGTTCAGCAGGCGCTGGTACTGGATCAGCCAGTAGTTCTCCTGTTTGGTTTCGCTCTTTGCCTCCATTTCCAGCTGAAAAACAAACTCATTCATTCAACAGCCCAAGGTAACATTGCAAGTGGTATTTAGGGCACCCCCAGTGTAGGAGGGGAAATCTACAGCCCCGGGCGGTGCGAGAGCAGTTTGGAGCGCTGCAAAGGGCACAGTTATGGTAGGATGGGCGTTTCTGGCCGGCAGGCTGATCCCACTTTGATCCCCACATCCAGTCTAGGGCTGTGCATCCCTCCAGTCACTTTGTCCCAGACACTGGACCCAGTCTCTTGAAGCTCAGGTGAGTCTGGAGATCTTCAAGATTACAAGGTCACACGCAAGGACCTTGTGGGATCGTGCTCATCCCGCCCCACAACTCCCTTTTCTGACAGGGGAGATTGATGGTGACGATGGTTCCTCATGCTGCACCAGGGAGTGGTGCTAACTGTGCCCCTGAGAGCGTGTATTAGCACTTTCTGCAGTTAAATTGAATTAATCTCTGCGTCTGGGCACAGCCCCTCAGAGGCCTCCTCTGCTCCCCTTTATCCCCGTGCTGACCCGTGGTCTCTCCCTGCAGCCAGGCCATGCACTTCCTCATCTACAGCACCTAGTTAGGGGCCTTCATTACCAGTATTTGTTTCAGTTCTTCTTCCCTTTGCTTCTTTTCTTTGAGCAGCTGCTGCAGCAGGTAGCCGAGTGCTTGGCGTTGCTCTGTGATCACCCCCTGCAACAGAAGGACTCTGGCATCCACATCCCTGTAGCTGCAAGCAACCACCCTGCCCCGATCTCCAGCAAAGCACTTACCATCCCCGAAACAGTGACAGCAGATGTGGAAGCCCTGTGCTCCACGGGCCCTCGGCCCGGCTCAGGAGGCAGCCTGAATCCTCTCCTGGCAGCTGGCATGGCAAACCCAAGCTGCACCCGTTTCTTTTGGTCTTGCACTGACCACTATCTGGTGGTGCCAAGCCCCCAGCACATCCTGGGCAGCCCCAGACCACACTGGCCTGCAAGCAGCTCTTCACCACTCCACCCAAAGTTCAGTCCATGGCATTGCAAGTGTTCGCAGTCCCCCTCCTCAGCTGAGAAAGGCCACCTAAAACTAGGCCTAGAACTCTGCAGGCATGCAGGACAGGTAAGGTAGCGACCTCCCCGTGCCTTTGGGAAGCTTGCTTTCCCTGGGGTCTCACACCAAGCACCGTCAGGTACCAGGGCAAGGTAAATCATCACTGCAGCCACACCGTTGGGAAACGAGAAGTTAATTGTCTTGGGAACCTCGGACCGTGTGGCATCTCTGCATGGTTCAGTCCCAGTTAGCTCATACCTGCTGGGAGGATCACTGAGCAGAGGGCCAGTAGTCATCGGCCACAAGGACTTCAGATGTCCATGGACAAAGGGACAAGGATTCTGTGAGAAGGCTGACCTCCTAGAGAAGTGTGGGGAAACCTTCATCAATCACCATCTGGGCCCTACACAGGGACAAGGTCCTCTGTTTAAGCAGGAGACAGGAACGCCTGCCTCTCCCAGGCAAAACCCACCATGAGCTGATCAGAGATGCTTTGCCCTGATGGAAGCAGGAAAGCTCTGCTGGGTCAGGACCTCCGCAGGGGTGAGAGGGACAACCAACGACACGTGGGAGCTGCTCCAGACGAGAAGCCCAGGCAGCTTCAGCTAAACCTGGAGGTGAACTCTCCTGCCCGCTCGCGCTGCGGACACCCCGCCAGCATTGCTCTCTCCCAGCCTGACCTTGCAAGAGACCTGTGCAAATGTCTCCATTTCTCAGGGTGTTTTTGGCTCTTCCTGTTTTCCAACGATTTATCAAGTTCATTACTGAAACACCTGTATGTTGGGGGAGGGAGCAACTGTCTGCTGCGCGGGAGGCATCAAGCACGACTGCAGAAAAGCTTCTGCCAAAGTGCTTTGTGGACACTGCCCGTGCAGAGGGGTTCAATGGCAGCAGGGAGCCTCTGGGCTGCAGGCTGCCAAACAGCCGGCGGGTACCCAGACAGATGAAGCTGTTCAGGCCTCGCTCCTCAGCATCCAGCGCTGAAGTTGCAAATGCACTGTGCTGCCTGCTGGGCTGTGGATGGGACTGGGGCAGAGCCTCGTTTTCTGCACTCCCCTGGCACTCCGCTGGCCACCTAACAGGAGCTACCCAAGTCCAGTGGCATCTGAACTACATCTCTCTGGGGTTCCTTGGTCTTCCCTGCACCAACTCTGGGCAGTCCCCCACCATCAGGCCTCTAAGACTGCAGCATTATACGGAGGAGCTGCACAAGTCAAGGGAGCATAACCCAAATCTTACATTCCAAGGTGTCCAGCACAGGGCTCAGAGGCAATCCTGTCCTTAAGCCAGCACTTACCAACCTGCTGTGTGCACTACTCTTGGAAAGTATATGGTGTTTGCTACTGATTTCAGGCTGACTAAACAGGTGACCTAACCTGGCAAACAGTGCACACAACAAAACAACGGATGCAAAGGCATAATAACAAAATTCAAAGCCAAGCTGCTGAAGCCAAACTTGATATTCCTCAATGCGTGACTGCTGATGAAGTCAGTCCATCGAATGGTGGGATGGGGGGGCCGGGCAGCCTGGGAGACAAGGCTTAGAAATGAAGGGGGAGAGCTCACAGCCAGCACTGGCAGGTACTTAAAACCAAAACACAACACAACAATGTAAGAAGCCATGCAGTGCGCGGCGGGCAGGTGTTTCTGGTACGGCCGACAACTGGATCGCAAAATCCTTCCCCACCCAGCAAACCTGGAACTGCCAACTGCTATCAGGGCTGGCTCGTTTGTCTCTCCCCTGACAATGCATCGAGATGTTTAGGAGCAGCAGCAATGTTCCCATGTTACCACAACAGAGGGTTTTGTGGATCCTATCCTGTGGATAAGTACCCTTCTGACTAAGCATAAAACCATCTGGAAACTGCAAGGAGCAAAAGAAGCAAGTGGAGCTTTTGCGATCCCAGAGCAGAGAGAGGGTGGCGGGGCAGCCCCAGAGCCCTACATACCTGCAGCGTCTCTGTGTCCAGTTCTTGCCTCTTTAACTCCAGCTGTGTCAACTGCAATAACTCTGTTTCTATTAATTTAATCTAAACAGAAGATGAAAGATTTTTTACTGACATTTGAAATTACTTTGATTTATCCTCTTTTAAAATGGGGTCTAACTGCTAGCCTAGGAGGGACAGCACTGCAGAGCCGTCCAGAAGTTTGGGGAAGCTGCTAGTGCCCTTCTGGTGACACACGCTCTTAGGGTTGCTTTTCATCTCCTGCCTGAGGAGCTGTGACCCCCACTCTCTAATTATCTCTTTGCTCTGAACACCTTCTGTTCAGGTCTAGAAGCACACTGCAATCAGTTCGTTCAGCCAAGCCTTTTGCAGCCACTCTGGAAGGCAGCAACTGACTGTCAAAGTCCTCCTAGCACCACCGTTCAAACTGCCCATTAACTGGGACAGGGTCCTGCCTCCTAGATGCTCCGGCAAATCCCATAATGATATGTGCTCTTTCAGGTGGGGCAACTGAGACACAGAGAGGTGAAGTGAGTTGCCCAGGATCCCACAGCAAAGCCAAGATGAGAGCCCCAGCTCACCAATCTGCCAGGCCAACTACCATCCCCAGGCCACTGCTCAGTGTGTGCCACTGACCATGAAACGCCGACACGGGGGCTCTGCAGCCAGCAGCACCCACAGCTCCTGCCCCTTCACTGCCTGCGCGGGATGCTGGTGGGCTGGGCTGGATTTCGGTAGTAAAAGGTCCAACCATGGTATCAAGGAACAAACTCCCTTTGCTTACAGAGCAAGTGCGAGCAAACTGCAGGGCTCTTATCGATGGGCTCAAGCAATGGAGAGTTGTTAGACTCATCTCCTGGGTCATCCATGCACAATCCACAGGCTTCCAGCACAACGCAGAGACTGGTCATGGACTGACTCAATATATCCAAGCTCTTAAGCTTATCCATCAACCCCTAACCTGAGACTTTCAGCTTTCACCCTATCGCACTGCACCTTCTGTGGAATGGAGCTCAGAATGGCAGGCTAAGAATGGGAAAGAAAAGGTGAACTTATGGCTCAAGGTGCAGTTCTGATGCGCTGGATGGAGATGCAGTGGACTCATGTGGAAACAGCAGCCCTGCTAAGTACACCACCTGAAGGAAATCACAGTTGCAACTGCAGTCCACCCCTACAGAGCCAAGGCAGGTCTGTCCTCTAGTGACCACTCTCCAGCACTTCATCCACATAGGTGCTGAGATGACCGAAGCAATGGCAATTCCACTACTCCCCTGAATCTAAAACCTGCATTAACACACCCTCCTATGGAGCTGGGAGACTGTAGTTTAATCAATACTGCCCCAACGCTTTGTTACAGAGCTCTTAGCAATACAAGAGCTCTTCATTTCCTCCAGACCCTGCTCTGTGCTCACAGCACTTTGATCTTCCTCAGAAGTGTCTCATCGAATGGCGGTATGAGCTGAGTAGCTGGCTGCTCTTTCCTCTGCTGCTGACTCACCTGGTTCCTGATCTGCCTGTGCATAAGATCCTTCTTCACTTGGAGAGCTTCGAAGGCAGCTTTCTGCATCTCAATCTAAGGGACAGGAAAAATCCTGCTTAGTGAGGTTGTTGATGCAGCTGCAAACGGGCTAAGAAACCCTGTTACCTTGCAGTGACTCATGTACAAGCACCTGAACGGTGCTGACAGGGCAACAGTGTCCTGATCACACCATGACTTGGATCCCACAGTCCCAAAACGTAAAACCCACTTTACAGACAGACACAGAAGCTATACTCATGTTCTTCAAACACACATTTTGAATGCTCTCTGTATGACCCCACCGCTCAATTTCAGCAGCACTGAGCACCCAGGCTGTGCAATAGGGCATGGCTGCCCAGCACTTCTGAAAAATGAGCTGCAGAGGTCTCAAGTACAGAAAGAGCAGAGGCTTTGAAAACACTTCCTGTAGGCAGCTTGCCCCAAGCCACCCAAGAAACCTGACAAAAAGACAGGGCTTCTGTCTCAAAATCCTCTATTAATCACAGACCAGTTTCGCTTCCCATGGTCTGTGCTGCTGCCTTTCCTAAAAATATGCTGTCTAGTTAAAAATCAAGTAATTTTTTCTTTCATCAATCCCAGGCAGTTTGGTAGAATACCAGAGATTCTCAAAGTTTAGCACGCAGTGTTAAATAACTTCTGCATGCATCCCAGCTCTGTCACTGTTGCTCCTGTGATCCACTCTCCATCCTGCTTTCACATGCAGTTGTCTTCCCCCGATCCCCCCTGCAAGCAGTTTGCTCCCTTGCCTACCTGCTGCAAGATCTGACTAATGGCTTTGTTCTGATCCAGCTGTTGCCAAGCCAGGATTTGCTGGAACTTCTGGTCCATCTCAGCTAGGCTGCAAGAAGATGGAATTGCCATGGAGTTACTGCTGTGTCTGAGACTCTTGATGCAAACAAGAGGAAAAGCCGACAACAGGGAATCCAGGAATGGAGAAATTTGTTACTGAACAAGGGTTACTGAAGGCTGTCAGATTTAAAACCTCCTTTCCCTACAATCAAACCAAACCTAAACCACAGACCAAGCCAGAGCAGAAGCACAACTGCCTGCAGGTGCACAGCTCAAAGTCCAAGTAGGGACTGCAGCTGCCCCGGCAAGTGCTCAGGTGATGAACTTGCATTGTGTATCAGTATTCTGCACTGGAAAGGGTTTGCTGGTGATGGAGACCGGGACAATGTGGCCATATATTGCCTGTGCTTGCAGGCAGGACCATGTCTGCCCACTGCCCTCTGTTGGGCAGGTCGCAGGCACACGGGGTCACTTCTGTTCAGTGCCATAATGTTGCCAGATTAAAATTTCTCACCTTCTAGTAAATATGGAGAGCCAGAATGCTCTCTGTACCCATAGTAAAGCAACAAATCCTACGTATATACAAACAGCATCCTTGAGACAACCCTGAGAGGTGAGGAAAGGAGTTCTGTGTTAGACTTGGACACTGAACTGGCTAAAAAAACAGTCTAATTTCATCCTCCATATTTAGCAGAATGTATAAAGTAAAATGAAGAGTGTAAAGAAGTGATAGTTCTTCCGATTAACACGCCTATTCTTGTGGTTAGAAGGTGGTTCATTTAATCAAGTTTGACCATTTCTTTAAAATGCACTGTCACCTGCTCTTACACAGCTGTCCTGCTGCCTTCCCAGCAGCTGCAGGAACTCCTGGGTGTATGTATGGGAATTACACCGGGGACTGCCAGAGAGACAGGGACTTTACAACAGCACCACCAGCCCCAGACATCTCCCGCTGTACCTGGAGCAGGCCTGGTTGACAAGATCTTGCCGACGAGACTCGTAGGTCATCTGGACGAGCTTGTTCTTGTAGCTCTCAGCCAGCATTTGTTGCATGGCAGCTAGGAGACAGAAGTGCTGTCAGCTGGTGTCAGAAGCGGGTGTCTAGAACAGGCACTCATCTACCACTGCTTCTACAATCACTTGAAATTAGCAGTATTTTCTCTCATTTCCAAACTGCCCTTGCTTTTTTTTCCATTTCATTAATTTCAGAGCAGACTCTTTCAGCTGCAAGAATCACAGCTATTTATTGGGAAATTAGCTGAGCAAACTTCACTCTGCCTGCACTTGCATCTCTTCAGTGCTCAGAGGAGTGCAGTCACTGCCTACCAACCCTCAGATGGGCTGCAGCTCTGCCCGTCCTACTGCGAGTAACCCATCCTTGGGCTGACAACACACACACCCCAGCAGATCTGTTCATGGTCATCGTGAGCAGAAAAGGCTCCCTAGCACCGTTCTTGTTTACCGTATGCCTCCTGCCTCATGAACCTGACCAGTTAGTATCTGTTTGGTACCTCTGAAATGCAAAGCGCTTTGTGTGCTTACATCCAGTCTCACAAACTCCTTGTGTGACATGCTGTAGCGATACAGGAAGCACAGCTTGCACCTCAGGGAGAACCAGCAGCTTGCTGACGGTGGAAGCAGTGGATCAGCTATGGTACATGTGCAATGCCACCCCCTGCAGCTCTGCCCTGCTGCACCAAGCAACAGAGCAAGAATGTGTGCCTGACGGAGCATCTCCCACGTGGTTGTCACCTATTCAGTGCATGTCCAGAGGAACCAAGTCCTTCTTGCACTTTACCACCCCAAAGAGTTGTCTGGACTTACAGGCCACTTCCCTTCTGCGTAGATGCTCTGTCTCCTCCTGTGTTATTGCCATCAGCTGTTCCATCCTTATTCTGCCAAACAAACAAGAACAATTCAGCCACTCCTTCAAACAAGCACTATCTCACTTCTCCTCCACACACACTGCTCAGAGCCTAAAGGCTGGGCAGATTCACCCTGCTCAGGAAAGCCATGTGCTTATCAGAGACACAGAAGTCTCCGTGATTCCTCAGTAAGGAACTTCTAAGTCTATGGGAGACAACATAAATTTTGCTCAAAACCACGGGGACAATTGCTTCTTAGATTGGACAGCTGATCTGAGAAGCAGAACATCTATACAATGTGCATACATTCTCACCAAACACAGTGGCAGCCCCATTTTTTTGCTTTCCTTTCTCCTGAGGCTTGACGAGCACTTTAAAGCTGACCTAAGTGAGCAGTGCCACTGAAAGCAGCAGTGTGGCCTCCATTCCCACCTCTCCTGTCCTTCTCCCAGCACAAACACACACACAACGCCACTTAAAAGATCAGGAACTGGTGTGACTGGAAAACTACCTGACATACAAAGGGATTATTTTCAGCCAGTGCCCCCATCCAGTTTACTGAGCCACAGCACAAAAAGTTGTCTGGACAGCATATAGGCAGGGGAGATTTGGGGACAACCACTTTTGGTGCCAAAGCTAGCTCAGAGTGTTAGCTGAATGGCAGTGTTGCTTTCAACATATCCCTCCTAGCCTGTACACATTACTGGACCATCTTCATAAATGCCTTGCTTTCTGACAGATACAGGATTCCTGTTGGTCCTTGGTAGCGCAGTACAGGGGTTTGTTCCCAAACTCCTTAGCTAGGACCAATGAGAGATGAAAAAGAAGTAAAATCACCACCCCATTAGCTTTGCCAGACTGGGTAGGACCAGGCACATCTAGTCCAGTGTCTTGCCTCCAACAGTGACCAGAACCAGCTGCAGGTATGAGATGAACCTCACCCAACTTAAGGTGGATTCAGATTGGTGACTCTGAAAGGAAGGTCCCAGCCCTCTTCCCAGCTTCTTGCCCCTTTTCTAGAAGACCTTATTTCAAGGAGACTCACCTCTCATTCTCCAAGGATTTCAGAATGTCTGAACTTTGTTTTTGCCTAAAAAAGGATAAAACAGGAGGTTTTCATCAAGCTGAGCAGGAAACTATTCCCCCAGCAGGTAGAAAACAACTTTGCTTGCGTCAGCACCAGTCCAGCAGGAGATCCAGCTGACCTAGGCAGCGGTACCTTCAAATACTTCAAATATGCACCTTCCATGAGGAATTCAAAATTTTTCCACAGCACTGCAAAACTCCAACAGCACACATATATGTGAAATGCAATTTTTTAAGGTCTCAAATTCCATTTCCTTTAAATGGGACTTCAGCAGTTCAACAGCTACGGCACCGCCTACAGACATCGATCCTGATCAGTTCCGTAACACCCAGAAAGGGCAAAATGAACCACTCAGAATGGAACAAAATAACACGAGCCCCTGAGGGACAGAGATCACTGCAAGACCCTGGGACCCTACCTCTGGTTGTCCTCTAGCAGCTTCTGGATACGGCTGGCAATGCCTTGCTCTGCTTGCTTCAACTGCTGCAGCAGCTTCAGGCGCTCCTCCTCCAAAGATCGCTGGTGCTTTGTCAGACCCTCCTCCAGCCTCATCTGGTCCTAGGCCAAAGCAAGAGAGAGCCAAAGGAGGAAGTGGTCAGTTTAGGAAAGGCAGTGTCTTGTATGGGGCCTGCCCAGAGGAGACCCACCTCTCTCACTGTCTGCAGTATCTCATCCTTCTGACTGTTGATCTGATGAACAAGCAGAGCATGTTCTCTTTGCCCCATGTTCAGGCGCCGCTCAAATTCCAGCTTCTCCTGCATTTTTTTTTCCTGAGAGGAGCAAGAAGAAAGATGAACGCTAGAATCAGTAGAATACTGGCTCTGCTCCTTGCAAGAACAGGAGGCTTGACTAGGAGATAGAAATATTCTCTCCTTGAACCCAAAAATTGTGAAGCAGAGCTGCTGCTCTCTTTATGACAGTCTCCAAACTCCCCACAACTCATTTCAGAGTCATGAAGCCCAAGTCCCTGGGCATCAGCCCATACAACTGAAACAGCCAATACAAACACCTGGAGGGAAGCCCAAAATTAAGGTTGTGTTCAATTCCAGATGGCAAGGGACTCCCTTGTCTGAAGACAACAGAGTGAAGGCAGCAGCCAGCTACAAGCAGCTCTAGCTAAGGGGAGAGGTGAACTGCACGACAGAAGCTTCTGATTATTTAAAAGTGAGCCTTGCACAGGGAAGAGACAAAGACCAGTGAAATAAAAAGAGCAAACAAAAATGCAGTAAGGTGAGGGGAATGGAGGACATAAACAAGGAACACTGGGAGGTAGCACAAATGGTGGCACTATGAGCCAAAGGGCCAAGGTAGGAGTCACGGCGAGGCTGGAGTTTGGGGCAGGGATCCACTGAGCAGTCTGTGCATGGGCTGCTCACACATGTCTGCCCACATCATGTAAAAAACAAACTGAGCTTTCAGCACAGAGAAGCAAGAAAAAAGTCACCTGGTGCGAAAGCCCCCAGATCCAACTCTGCAAACACAGGCTGATTTAAACTGGAACCACTTGCTCACAAGAGAGACTGCAGCTCATCAGCTGTGTGTGTCAGACAAGTCAGCCACAGATTCCCCCATGCTCCCACTTGTCTTCTCCAGTGAGGAGTGAGCAGCTCTGGGGGCTTTTCTGCAAGAACTCTGTTCTCAAAACATTCAATTTTGGCTGAGAAACTGGATAAAGGGAGGAAAAACAAGAAAAAAAAGCGGAGCTGTTCCGCAGACAAAGCATTTGCAGGGGTTCATCCTTACCTTCCGCTTCTCATAATCCAAGAATCTGTTCTGAAAAATAAGCAATATCAGCAGACATTTACTCCCAGGAGCAATTTTTTGTACATATTAGCCCACATTATATCTTCCTCTAACTGAGTAAAGACATCAACCAAAGGCACAAGAAGATTAACATAGCCACAAAGTCCAGTCATTCATGCTTCTCCAGGGTCAAAGACATTTACTCTGTACTTGCCAAACAGCACAGGAATATCACAACAGCACAGCTTATCATAATTACATGCCTAGCCTCTCCTTTCCCAGGTAGGGCTGGACATGCCTAACACTTGGCTGGGAATCACAAGGTTCTTCTGCAGTTTGCTGTTCCCCCCAAAAAACACGTGTGTTACTATGCTGCACACACTGTGTCATACTGTCACCCCTGTCCCCTGACTGCATCATTGCTTTCAAGGACAGAGACAGTCCTTTACGATGGGTGTTCCAGGAGTCAGAAGTGGTAACACCATCCCCGACTGCTGGGGAGGAGATGACCCACCCACACCCACACTGCTATGCCTGCTTCTGTGCACTGATGCTCTCTTGATCCTAAAAGACACATCTCATGGCAGGGAAGGTGACGAGGGATGATGTGCTAAGAGCTGTGAGATCCACTGATGAGGTGGAGAGACAAATCCAAAACCCTCTCACGCAACTTCACATGCAGTGGAGGCTCACCTGCCACTCACTCTCCTCCTCCAAGTACTTCTGCACTGCCCTGTCCACCCCATCCACTGGTGTTCCTCCTCCATCACTCTCCAGCGTGGGGAGCAGATACTGTGAGGGAGGGTAGTACGCAATTCCACACTCTGGAAGATATCAGACACAAAACAAGAACATTTGGTGCTTAAAGACCTCCTTGGCAGCACGGCTGAGGGCTGGCTGGGGTGTGAGACTGCTTCCAACTGTGCTCCCTCTCCCCATACACAGCCCAGTGAGACACAAAAGAGCTCCTTCAGCTCAGGGATGCTTAACAAGAAGCTCTGAGAGGAGATAATGCCACTCCATTCCCACCAGGAAGATGATCAAAGTTAACCTGCTCAGAGAGAAAAGCTTCCTTCACACGGGTACAGACATGTTGACTTCTGCAGGGCTGCAAATGTTACTGCCCCTACCACAATGAGTTCTGACTGTCCTTTTATTTCAGGGATTAGCACAATGTCTGGCAAGGCACTTCCCCTGCATAAAACCTCTTCCAAACCTTCCTGTCTGTACTAAACTCAGTGTTTACAAACTCACAGTACGTTACCTTTGTGCTCTGAATTTTCCATCTGGTTTCATCTTTCTCTTAACAAACCATCAGCCTGCAGCCCCCCAAGTCGTTTTCATAGAAAATGAGGGTAGAAGGGACCTTGAGTGACTACTGAGTCTACCTTCTTGCCCCAAGTCAGCTATACCTGGACAATAACTAATCCTCCCACTTGAGAAAATACAAGCAAGAAAAGAAAATCACAGGGAGATGCAATGACTTCTTACGGTCACTCAGTCTCTTACTCAGCTATTCTGGTGTTTTAACAAAACCATTATAAATTTCAGTGTGATCGTAAGAACCAAGTCTCAAGGAAGGACCCCGGTTTTGCGGTCCACCAGCAAAGACACATAACTCACCGACCAGCCTGCCACACATGCAGAGCATCAGAAGCCACCTCAATCAGAGCCAACCCAATGCTTGTCCTTCATTAATGCAATCTTTGAACATGCCAAGGCACCTAATGAGAGCACAGCAGAGTCCCTCAAATTCTCACTACCATCCAGACTGTTCTTGCTTACCTTTGCAGAGGAACTGCTGAATGGACTCTGTACCTGCACTGCAAATATCAGGTGATGGGTAGGTCATGGAAGAAGCATCCAAGGTCAGCGTCTCCAAAAGAGAACACACAGAGCTGCAGGTTATTCTGGTGGCCCAGCCAGAGTCTGACTGCAGTTATCCTTGCAGCTCCCCAAAATTTCACTTATAGAATGATAATTGCATGTTACCCTAAATTCCGCCATAAATACAAATTTGTATTGAATTTCTGTTGGGTATTTGATTCCTTTCAGAGGTGGGTCCACTGCCTCTTATTTGGGAGCTTCTGAGCTGGTCCTTCAGTGGAACATCTCACTCATGCAGACATGTCTACTTTGTGTTTAAGCACAAGAGGGCACAGCACTTCTCAACTACAGAAATTTTGTACTAATTTCTGCATGCTGGAGCCTTTAAGCATGATGCATGTGAGGGGTGGTGATACCAAGGACACCGAGAGAAGAGGGGTACCAGTAAGAACAAGCAGAAGAACCACTTGCTGTTTTGTTCTACTGTGGCCACCAAAAGGATCTAATGTATCCTTCTGTAGAGAAGGGCACAGCAGGAATGCCCAGAAAGGATTAATCTTATAAAGCACAAGTGAGCAAGCTGCACAGATCACTCATCTCAGAGACTGCCCACAAGAGAAGCGAAGCCTAATGTTGTGTGTTCGAGACAGGAGAGCATTTATCCGCATCCTCCATGCTGGTGTCTGAGTCAGCCCTGTTGCCTGACATTTGCACAGGTTAGTACTGACAAGTTTGGCAGCCAGTAGGTAACACATCCATAAAAATCTTGATGCTTGTCCCATTTTGAATGTGCACTCCAGGGAGCCAGAAATCTGTGGAGGCTGACAATGAGTCAGAGATCTGTTAAGGCAAGAGGCAAAAACCTCATCGGAAATATCCCATCTGCTCATTTAGAATCAGCCTTGGTGGAAAGCAGCTGAGTCAACCTGAGCCCACAGGCACAGTTGGTGCTCTCAGAGAGACAGCCCTGGCAGAAAATACCTGAGGGTTCACTCCCTGTGGATTATTTTTGTCATGATTAAGCCATAGCAAAAAGTGATAAGAAAAGATCAAAAGCAGGAAGGGTATGCAAAAGCTATTTTGGACACCATGAACCACATACAGCCTTGTTACAATCCCCCACAGTGGGTCCTGCCCAAGGTCTAACAATTCACTTTCTATGCTAAGTTTATTATTGTATTGATCAAGTAGGAAGGGAAGCAGCCTGCAGCAGAACAAACAGCCTGCAAAGAGGATAGACAGACACGGTTGGCTGGCTGCGTACCTGCAGCGTGCGGATGTGAGCCAGCACCCGCGGCAGTTCTTGCAGCACGTTCTCACTGATATCCAGAGTGCGCAAACTCCGCAAGCCACTCACAGTAGCAGGCAGGTCCTTCAGCTTGTTACCTAGAGAGAGAGAAAAGTCATTTAGTAACACATAAGTTTTCCAAAGCTGGACCCAGCAAGTTCATCTGCTGGAACACCAAACCATAATCACACTTATGACTCATTTTCTATACTCTACTACAGGGACGAGGCAGTCACGGGTCACACAGGGACTCCAAAGGCTGCCATCACCCAGCGAGGCAAACGGGGATCACGATCTACTTGCACACAGCCCCAGTGCAGGGATCCAGCAGTGGTTCCTCATGCTGAAATGACGTTCTCAGCTGAGGCCACTGCTGCAGGCTGGATCTGAGCTCTTTATCAGGATATTTGTAACATGGAGCCTTCTTCCCTTCACTGCAAGTACCAGAGATGGAAGAAAGGGGACTGAGTGTGGCACTGCACATCTAGGGTCACAGGCCAGGTGCTGCAGACAGATATGGCAACGAACTGAGCTGTACCTCCAAGTTCCTCACCCTCCATCCCCTTCTGTTTCAGCAACAGCTCCCTGTAACAAAGCCTCCTTTTTCTCCCAAGTTCATGGCACTGCATATCTGGAAAATGCCCAGGAGTCTTGAAAAAAGGTACGGTTGTGGCCTTTGTGTTAGGGTTGTGAAAACCTGGCAGGACTACACAGACTTACAGGACTGAGCTCCGGGTGTCAGTGGATTTAACTGTAAATCAGCTTATCCAAGCTGACTGCTCTGCTTGCTTTACTGAACTGCTTCTACCAAAGACACACTATCCTTCTTTCACTTGAATCTGCATGGACAGACTTCTTAGGTTGGTCTAAATCATTATGCAGAGGGATACAAGCCCTGGCCTGGGACTCCTCTTGTAGGGCACACACAGTACTCCCAGCTCGAGGTGGCTCTCATGCTCCCAGAGGAAGATGTGTGCCTTCAGCACTCCTCACCACAGGAATGAGGCAGCTGGGGCTCTGAAATGCTGCCCACGTGCAGGCACACAAATAAGCTCTCAGCTGTTGAGATGGGGCACGATGACCCAACAACCTCTCCTTTGAGAAGAGGCAACGGGCTGAATGAAAACATCAATCGGAGCAAGTCTGACCCAAGAGCCACAAGCTGAAGCACACAGCAGGGAACCAAGGCAGACAGTGTGTCCGTTTGCTAAGAAGTAGCAGAACAACCCTAGTTCCTCCTAATAACTTGGGGAATTTTTAGGAATCATTTTCAGCTTAGATTTCTCCTGCCTTGCCAATTATTTGAATTAAAACCTTTTTTGTGTTCTTCCTTAGTATCTGTAGTGTAAACCATTTGGTGCTTGCTTTGGTTGAAAGAATAATTACTAAGGCAGCTCAGCACGAGCTAGATAATAAATGGTGCTTTGCCCAGAGCACCAACAAGAAACACATGCCATACCTTTCACATTGAGCATCTGGAGCTGTGCAAGGTCTCCTATAGATTGTGGAAGACATTTTAAAAGGTTCCTTTCAAGGTTTAGGACCTAAGGATATCAACAGAAAAGATATTCAAGATACTCCTTATACAAGTCTCAGATCCTCCACACATCTATGCTGTCGGGACCACCTTTAGGCCCAGAAGGACAGCTTGAAATTGGTTTTGCACAATACTTTCTGGGCTAAAGAAAAAAAACTATTTTCCAGAAGCCCTGCATACTGGGTGCATCTAGATACCACATGCAGTGAGAAACCCTGCTCACCACCAACAGCAGCAGCAGGTGCTGGACCCGGATGCAGGAACTGGGAAGCAGAGTGTCCTCCCCTCCAGGGCAGCACTCCCCCGCCCCGGCTCCCGCAGCAGAGCAGTGACTGAACCTGAAGCTGCCCCCCGAGCAGAGGGGACGCTCAGCATGCACGATGACATGCTGCGCTGAGTTCTCAACATAAGCGCACCAGGGGGAATAGTAAAACCTGAATATTTTGGGAAATCTACGAGACTGGAAGCTCCAGCTCTGCTTGGCAGTGGCCAATTGGACTGACAGCCCTTGCACTAAGCTGGGACTACGGCATTCAGCCTGTCTGCTCTTCTCCTGCTCCTCTGCAATCCCTCTCCAACAAGCCAGGTCGACAGCAACAGTCAAGTCAATGAGATAGATCTACTAATATGAGCACCATTATTTAAGTTGTGATTAATTATAAAACAAATGGCAGTAACCCCATATTCTTGCTGTCCTGTAACACACCCTTTGCAGACACTTGGGATGCAGCTGTAAATCTTTTACCTGAAGAGATGTCAGCTGACCAATATCAGCAGGAAGCAATGCCAGCTGGTTGTCATGCAGGTCTAGAACCTGGAAGAGTAGATGATTTCACCAAACTAGGTTGGGAAAAGAAGTCACGGTGCAAGAATCAAAGGTCATTATCTAGTAATGAAAATTACTTCCCCTCCAATGGGGCTTTGAAAAGAGGCTTAAGTTTTCAAGGAGACAGAGGCACTTAATTCTTGTAGGCCTTTTGAAAACTCAAGCCTCTATACGTCAATGAACAAACAAAATACTAGAAAGAGCAGTGACACCAAGGGAGCAGTTCCACAAAACTGAATGAGCCAACTGAAAAAGACATTTTCTGCAGGCTCAGTAAGCCAAACTGCTCCAGCACCAGTGCTGGCACAGGGAGAGGGCAGGACTATGCCCAGAGACCTTCCTCCACAGAGAGAGGTGAGCTGCTGGAGTGATTCTGCCTCTTGTGGAACCACAGCACAAGGGTGGTGGAGCTGAGAGCCCTCAGCATTTATATGACAGGTACAGTGATACAGCCCCATCACACACGATCACCCATCACCAGTTTTCTTCACATTCAAATGACCCACAAGTGCAAAAGAGAGATGGATCTACCCCATAACACACACAGCCCTGCCTGACCACTGCCGTGAGAGGCTGTTGAGGGGGGAAGTGTGGGATTATGAAGAGGATAAATGAGTCCTGGGACTGATTATGATTTTATACAGACCACTCAGTGACCCCTAACTGTCTACCTGGGAGGTAAACCGAGGAAAGGCAAGTTTCACACCTCGTTACTGATAGTTGGCAAAGACGGTCAGACAGAAGGGATATAGTTGGGCTAGTGTGCTTTAATGCAGCTAGAATGCAAGGAAAATAGGCTGCAGATTAACTGTTAAGAATCACAGTTACCTTCAAGGTTATGAGACTCAGGAGGCTGCAGGACTTTGGAACTAAAGATGTCAGATTATTTGTATGAATAATCAGCACCTGAGGAGGAAAAATCCCACTGAAACATGAGCACAAGAGACACTGCTGTCTAGAACATGTTTGTTGAGAATTAATTGTGGAAGCTGTATAAGAACTTAATTAGCTTATTCATATCATACAAGTTAATAAAATAATAAATGGATTTTCACAGAAGGTCAAACATTTAACATGAGATCTAAACAAGAGCCCTATTACTCACATGAGAGATATCATTAGATAGGCTAAGATAGAAACAGTCACCTCATCTTTCATGACAGAAGTTAGCTCTAAAGCACACAGACAGGATTAGTCCTAGTCTAATTGCTCTCTATGTAGTATTGTACAAGTGGCCAAATTCATTACAAGCAAACTTCAGAAGAAGGAACACAACCAACCACATACGGTAATTTCAAACACAACAATAATACTCAAGCATAACAACAGAATTATCTAATAATTTCTGATTGCAACCTTACCTTTTTTTGCAAGACCTTACAAGTTGCAAAGGCCCCATAAGGAACCTAAAAACAATTAAAAAATAGTCGTGTCAGACTTCTCAAGAATCTTTGTCAGCACTTCTACAGTATCCACCTGTAAAGTGTGAATAATTAACTTTAATGAAAATGCAAGTGATACTTAAAATTACTGGTCCCTGGTTTTGGCCCAGGATGCCAGTACTTCCCAATTAGTTTCCATTTAAACAGCTTGCAACAGCTCTCCACAATGACAGTGTCGTGCACAGCACTGAACAGACTGAGGTTTAGGCAGAAATCCAAGTCTTGCATGATTTAATATTCTGTGTACAGATGACTCAAGAGTTCAGGCATATTTTCAGTTAGTCATTGCAGAAATGTATTCTATGGTTTTGCAGCCTCAGTAAACACGCTGCAGTGGACTAAGTGAGAAAGGTGAGCAACAGGCAGCACCCAGTGTCCTCGCATGTGCTAGGCTCTGCAGGAGAGGGGCAGTCAAGAAAGGGATGTTCCAGCAAATTCAGACCCATGCCAGCCAAGGCTCTGACCACCATGGCCTGCTCTGCAGCATGGAACTGGCATTGGCCAAACTGTTGTCCCAAGTTAATTTGAAGACCAAACTGATGGCTCACTTTATTTATTGAAATTGCAAAGGCTAAAAAGAAGACAAGCAAGACAGAATTTTATGGTACCCATCCAAAAGGAGCCGCTGGGGATCCAAGACCAGCTGCAGCTATAAATGGAGCTGGCTCAGTGTGCATCTTCTGTCTGCCACCCTTTCACCCAGACTGGCTCGCTGACTGTCCCACACAGCTCGCAAACCTACACACAAGATGCTGTTGGATTCTGATCTTGGAACAAAACATCCCAAAGTCCCAGCAAAGCCATTTCATACTGCACAGTAGACAGCTATCCTCTCTGGCATGGTCCCAAATCTCTCCCCAAAGAGCAGTGCAGTATCTATTAGCTTGTTTGGAAAAGGCCAAAAAGCTGTGACAAATGGTTACACAGGTACCAAAGTGTTTTAGAAACACAGGACAATTAATAAAAACTGAAAGTGAAATAGAAACAGGCTTCTGCTTAACAGGATTGCCTGGCTGCCAGAATGAAAAATTGTGTCTCCTCTGAAAGCCTGGCAATCTGTCACTAACCACTCACACTCCAGCAGACAGCTTGTTTCCAATTTAGTTGGCTGCCATAAAAGAAGCCAAGCTCAAAGTAAGATTGCCATCCTTAACCACCAGCCTGGAACCAGGGATTTTCACTTACACAGAAAAATAAGCACAGGTGGCAGACTTTGTAGCTCTAAGATTAGAAACAGTCAGCCTTTGGCAAACAAATTCCCTTATGACTTGCAAAATTAGGCCATGAGGTCCCAAAATAGGGTCTTATCAAGGTGCTGGTGGAGGGTATGAGACCACTCTGCCCTTCCTATCTTGTCAAATGAAAAAAGATTCACAGGCCGGAAATGTTGTGGATCAGGTAGGACAGGCAATCTCCCACAAAAAAACAAAAAAACAAAAAAACAAAACAAAAAAAAAAAAAAAACAAAAAAAAAAAAAAAAAAAAACAAAAACAAAACAAAAAAAGCAGAAGCAGCCCTCACCTGAAAGCCAGAGCTCAGCAGACACAGGAAGAAGCAGACCAGTGACAAGGCCATTTCTGTCTCAAGCCTCATAGACTTGGTACCAAGTCTGACAGCTGGTAAGAAGAGGCAGAGAACTCAGACCTGTAAGCTAATACTGGAAGCTGTAGGGAACGTACCTCTGAGAGTTCACATTTGGATATGTCAAGAATGTCATCAGCACCAGCTTCTTTTGCCTGGAGAGAGAAGATACACACCCAGAGAATTAGACCATAGAGAAATACATGGCCTCTTGCTGCATGTCAACTAAACTATTCAACTGGCCCGTCCCTTGGAAATGCAATTACAGTTCTCTGCCACAGCTATATATTTCAGTGATGAAGATCGAAGCAAAGGGTGTGCTGCTACAAATGCAGCAAGAAAAAGCAACTGGGAAACCACACTGCAGAAAAACCCTTTTGGTGCAATAAATAATTTCTGCACTAAACACCAAAGCACATCCTAATTCTGCAATTTTAACTGAAAGGATATGGGAAGGAAATGATGGGTTCTCAAGAGAGGCACTTCCTAGGGACAACAGCAGTGCCATCCCAGCCTGTGTCATTGGCATGTCTCACCCAGCAGACTGACTTTCTTCTGAACTGTACACAGAAACCAAAATAATCTACTATTGCCTTTTTGCTTCCATGGGACCTGCAGAGCCAGCTCTGCTGTGTAAGAAGGAGCAAGGACTCTCTGCTTCTGTACAAAAATTGGTTTTCCATGTTCAAATCAACTATATCCAATGCAGTTGCTAACAGCAATGAAACTAGACGAACTTCCCTGTGAGCAGCATTGCATCTCTGGAATTATTTTCTTAAATAAAAGATACTGTATGGGGCAATAAAACCTGTTTGTGTTAGTGCCTCTGCTAAGTCTTCAGAATCAGACATCTGACCCTAAACTAAGCCCATGCAATAAAGAACTAATCCTAGAACAGTCAGATTAAGCTATCCCTCCCCAGACCCACAGAAGCTGAACAAAAAGCCTCCAACTGAATAAATTCATTATTGGTACATAACAAAACCTTCCTTTCCAAAATATCTTACAGACATCCAACAGGCATAATTTTGTCACTTTAAAATGCAGGTGCCTCTCTGGGAGAGCACAGCAGATCCCTATGCCAGCACTGGTCCACAGCTCCTACAGCAGAACAGGTGAAATAACTCAAAAGAAGATTGCTTTCAGAAAACCATCTTTAAATCTGCAGCTGCTGCAAGGCAAGTAGTTCTGCCGACCTCACTGGCATGACAGCAACCTGCTGAGGATCCACCTCAGGAGATCCTGGCCATATTCTAGTCCAGGAAAACAAACAGTGGCATCTAACAAGTTAATCCTCTGAATGCCAGGAAGAAACAAAATAATAAGAAGCAAAAGAAGAGCACAAAGAAAGGCAATTATGATGGGAAAGGGGATGTCACAGTTTCCCTGGTAGGAAAAAAACCTGGGAGATCTGTAAGAGTGAAGGGGCATGGAGGAGAAATGAGGGATGGGGTCCCATATGCAGGCTGGCAGGTGGGGTGGGGTGGAGGATGTTACATGGAACCACATCAGCAGAGAGGGATGCAAGTGGCACGAAAGGGACCTGTGGATGGGAGAGCAAAGGGAGAAGAGGAAAGCAGGAATTCTCTGATGTACACTAGGAAGGCAACCTGCTGTCTCAGTGAGATCAGTAACGTGATTATTGGTAATGCAGGGGACGTACCAATTCACCTAGCATCCAGGACTCGACACGGAGAACAGAAAAGACCTCAGCATTGCTTACCAGGCACATTTGGTATTCAAGGCGCTTCCGAGCATCATCGCTGGGTTTCTTCTTACGGAAGAAGAGTGGCATCTTTAGTTCTGACTAAAGCTCTGTCTCAGTAGCGCGAACAATCAGTGTAAATAAAGGCAGAGGGCTCCTGGAGTATGCATTTGCTGGTGAGCCTGGATTACAGAAGTGTGCTCTAGTAAGAGTGGAGGAAAAAAAAAAAAAAAAAGTTGACTGTCTCAGCAGTTGTCTTTGTATAAGCCCTTTTCTGGCTTCATCAAACAGGCAGATTCCAGCACACCTCCACGGTGGAAGTGTTAACATGAGCCTCAAAAGCACTGCTTGTGTCTCTGAGACAGGTTAATTGTCTTGGTCATCCCCGTGCAAGATAAGTCAATTTGGAACATGTACATAGAAATGCTATTCAGTGATCAGGAAAATGCAGGGTCCACGCTAGGATAGGAACTAAAAAAGCTGTAACTGTATCAAGAGGTCAAGCACCAGGGACAAAACCCAAACTATTTAAACTCAAAGTCAATTCTGGAACAATAATAATCAACTGTAAAATGTTCTAGAATAAAGTTAGGCTAGAAATGTGAAAAACTCCTAATCCTGACAGCAACACAGCTGCCTTCCCCTTCCAGGGCAGGTGAGAATAAGCAGGACCCCCACGCAGTTCAAAATACAGGTAACTGCAAGGGACTTGATAGCTACTGAGTGCAGCAGAGTCCCTCTGGCACGTCACAGTCTGTCCCAGTTGCTTCCCGGGACGTCATGGGGACCCCAGACAGGCATTGGAATCGGGATGCCCAAGCTAAACTTTGCTTCTCAGCTTTAGGGCTTGTCTCAAGTTAACAAATCACTTGATTCGTTTACTTGCTAGGCAGAAGCATGGTCGCATGGGAACACTTTCCCCATTTTAGTCACATGGTGAATTGAAAAGATTCTATTTAAACACCTTAGTCAGATTTTTAATAGGCTTATAAAACCAAATCTATTTCCCATGTTTAAGAACTGCCTGCAAAGCCAAAAGAACCTAACTTCAGAAAAACTCTGACTATAAACCAGAGCCAAATGCTGCTGCCCCAGCCACATGCCAGGTGAACTATCTGGCCTCTTAGGCACTCAGGAGCTTCTCCCAGGCTGAGTGTCTCCAGGTCAGATTGCCATACTCCAGTCTAGGCTTACAGGGCAACCAGACTTTCCCCAAAATAGTGGTTCTGGGTCACTACAGGACCAAGAGCTGGGGAATGTTTTTCTGTGAATTCAACTGGACTGTACGCAAAGACACCAGCTGATTCAAGCGTAAATGGAAGAGAAGTTGAACTGGAGACAGGAAAGAGTGAATCGCAGTAAGATGCCTGGCGAAATCAGGATCACAGGTGGGTGAAGGGGTAGCAGAAAACAGAATTGATTCTGGAAGAGGACTCTGGCTCAGTAGGAGAGAAAAAGGGAGTGTGTTGGCAGATTTTGAGGGAAAGGCAGAAAGCTAAGGCTGGACAAGAAATGGGGAGACCAGCTGGTAATTAGATAGGTACCAGTTGGGATGTTGGGAAAAGAGATGGGAACCAGCTGAGCAATAAAATCAAGGAGAAAAAGGGGGTCATCTGAGGCTGCATGAAAGCTGAGGGCAAAAACTGGCAATGCAGAAAGTCTGAGTTAGGGCTGCTGGTGAACACGGGCTCGCAAAGGGAGCTGATGCTGGCAGGAGTGAATCTGCCTTAGTGACATGACTGGGATGAGAGAAGAGCAGAAGAGCATCAGTGAGCCCAAACAGGGGAGAGTTGAACTGACTGGGACAGAAGCCTTGGATTACTTAAGGAATCCAATGAGCCATGATCAGCACCGCACGGCAAAGAGGGTCAGCCCAGGCAGGAGCTACAGCTGCCCAAAGTCCAAATGGAGATACACACTATGACACTTGCACTGTGAGTTTCGCTTTGCAATGACTTTTTTAAACATTGTTTTAATAATCAGTTTTAAAACCAATACAAAAGAGTCAATACTTCACCAGTACATTCACCAGTAAATGGCACAGCTATACAATGCAGTTAATTTAGTGCTCAGTGAAGCTCATGTGTTGTACATAAAAGAGATGGTTCTCTGCCACCTCTGCGTCTACAAACTGGTCTCAAACTAGACTGAAAAGCATGTACCCACAGGATACAGCCAGAGACGTTCCTTGCACAGGGAGATCTCTGCCAAACAGAGCTTTATGTAGACAAATCCTCAGTGTAAAAGCAAAATATAACTTCAGTCTTAAATGCATCCAAGCAACCACCCTTCATTTCACTCCAGAAATAAAGAGGCGAGGATGTCCTGTTTCACTGTACTGATGTCATACCACTCTACTGAAACAAGCTACAAGACACAGCAGAAGGTGCTACAAACTCATTCTGTGCATTAAAATCAAACTCAACAGTTTCGTGGGTCTTTCCCTGCCATCCCACTTTGCTGTCCTGATAACAAGTTCAGACTACTGAAATGCCCCTCAGACTCACCTCCCGCCAGGAGGGGAGGCCAGAATGAAAATACAGAAGATTAAGCAAGAAGGGAAGTTCATTGTCAGGATCTACAGTTTGGAAATGCAGGAAAGCAATCGAGAGCCATAAGCAAGGGTCAAACATCACAGAGACAAAAGGAAATTTAAAGATGAGAAACCAGAAGGACAAGGGTGTCTGCAGCAAGATATCCATAACTTTGCTGAACATGTTCAGCTCTTTGCTGAAGCCTTGTGCACCTTGTCCCAACTCATGTTTCTCTGTTACGGCTCATTATCAAATTTTCACCCAAGAAAATACATAAAGACATACAGGCTGAAGGACAGGCAGTTGAACAGGAAAAGAATTGTATCAGGGATCAAAAGATGAAGGACGAGGGATTTGTTAAATGAAGGGCCTTCAAATGTCAAAATTTGCCTTAATGAAAAGACATGTCAAATCTGCAAACAGCAAAGGTGTTCCTCTCTCTGTGACATTGTCTTTTTGTGCTCAGCTGACCATCATCAAGTGAGAGTAGCACTCAGCAGCCAATGATAAGGACCTTTAGTATCTGACCATATTTTATACGATGTAATATTTAGTTATTAAGTTATTGAAAGAACTATCTATAAGTGCCTCGGACAGCACCCACCCAGCAGTAAGTGAGGATCCATGAATTGCAAAGCCCACGTCTCAACGGCTGCCAGTGGTCTTTGCAGGCACTCGCTCTGCCTGCCTGAACGGCAGCAACACACACACTGGGTGAGAAAGAGCGAGGGAACATCCACTGTGGGTTTCACAGTCTGCAGCTGCTTGGATGCTGAGAGCAAAATAAAAACAAATCCCTAATTTTATAAACAAACGTAATCAAAGTGAAACAGCAACATGGCTATATAAAAAGAACCAGACCCTAATTTTTAAAACATTCTGGACATCATAAATACAGCATGACACTGTAACAGACAAGATGGGGGCCTGGAAAGATGAAAGGTTTTATTTTCTCTGGGAAAACATGCTCAGGAGCACAGCAACACAGCAGTGAGCCAGCACGTGGATGAGCTGGGCTCCTGCAGAGATGCTGTCTAGTCACGAAGGACAGAGCTGTCACCAGACATTTCTCAGGCAGCAGGTCTTGCTCACTGAGAGGAAGGTTATCAAGCAACTAACAGCAGTAGCAGCAGGCCCTGGAGACCAACATGCACTGGAACAAGATTCAGGAAGGACACAGAAAGGAAACTGCAGCTTTGTAACTTACTCTCAGCACATTTGCTCTTTGTGCTGGAGAGCTGTCATGACAGTTGTACCACCCCCTGTAATAACCAGGCTCTGCCTGATCCTGTCAAAGCCCTCCCCTGGCAATGCCTGAAACAAATCTCTCTTCTTCACCAGCTCCAGCTCTGCCTCTCAGTCCTTTCTTTCCCTTATTGTCACTACTCTCTTCTTTCTCTTCTTCTCTTTAGGGGCTCCCTGCAGCGTCCCCCTCCCAGGTTTCACACAGCTTCCAAAGGCTATCTTTCTCGGTCCTCCTCTTCTTTACTCTTTTATCAGCCAGAGCAGAGCCGTTCTGTGCCTGAAGGCCTGAGCGCTGCCAGCACCGGCCCTGACACCTGAGGAAAGCAGCAACAATGAGCGAAGGCAGCGTCTCTTCCCACAACAAACACACCCACAGCTTCGGGCACCGCCTGCTCCCGAACCCCCCGGCCGCCTCTGCAGAGGCAGCACAGGCGTCCACACGGTTACCGATGTTCGGTGCCCGCCCTGGCCGCCCCGAGGAGCCCGAGCGCGGCCCGAACGACCTCACCCCCGCACGGAGCCCCGGACCATGGCGCGGGGCAGAGGTCGCCGCCGCGAAACCCGTCCCCGCGCTGAGGGGAGAAGAGCCCTGCGCACGCTGCCGAGGCCCCGGGGCCGGTCCCACCGCCCACCTCCCCCCGGCCCCTCTCACCGCTCCCCGCCGCCATGATGCGGCACCGCCCCGCCAGCGTCACGTGACCTCCCGGCCTGGAGGCGCGAGGCGGGACACACATACGCACACACGGCACCATCGAGCAAAACGGCCAGAGCGCCTCGCTCCAACCACAGAGTTTTCCCTTCGCGGTCCCGCAGCGCTCTTGCGCCCCCTGGGCGGGAAGGCCGCTCCCGCGCCGCTAGCGCTCGCAGCGAGGCCCGCGCGGCACCGCCCTCTCGCGAGATCTCGGCGGGTATATCCGGTACCCGCTAAGGCACCGCCCTCTTTTCCGCCGCGCACCGGGCAGCCGCCAGCACCCCCCCCACCGCCGTATCCGCCGCCATCCGGCCCCCGCCATGCCGCCCAAGTTCGACCCCAACGAGATCAAAGTGGGTACGTGCCGGGGCGGCGGTGGGGGGGGCGGGCGGCGGGCGGAGCGCGGCTGACGCGCGTTTGCTGTGTCCGCAGTGTACCTGCGCTGCACCGGCGGGGAGGTCGGCGCCACCTCCGCTCTGGCCCCCAAGATCGGTCCCCTCGGCCTGGTACGTACCGCGGGGGGCGCGGCGGCGCGGGGTCACGCGTGTCCCGAGGCCGGCCGGCTCGGGAGCAAAGATTTTTAGCCACGTTACAGAGCGGTGAAAGAATCCGTGACGGGCGTGGGGCGCGGCGCAGCGTGGGGCTGCTCCGCTGTCATCCAAGCGGTCTGTTTTGTGACCGTGATGTGTCTTTTTAGTCCCCCAAGAAGGTCGGTGATGATATTGCCAAGGCCACGGGTGACTGGAAGGGGCTGAGGATCACGGTGAAGCTCACCATCCAGAACAGGCAAGCACAGGTACTGAACGCCACGAGGGATGGCTTCGTGGTGTGAGCGCCCAGCAGCTCGGCTTGCTCCAACCACAAGCTGAAATCCCGGCAGGGTCGACTCAGCCCTTCATCCTTCCGAGGTGGATAAAATGAGTTCCACACGGCAAATGTGTGGGGGTCTTCTGGGAAAGACCTTAAAACACGAGTGTTGAGCTTTCTGGGTGCCTCTGGCTCAAATCCAGCAGTGGCTCGGGGAGGGGGGGGGGGGGGGTGTGAAGCCTGGGGCTTGCCAGGCTGAGCGATGGGAGATCTGCTTGTGTGCAGATTTTGATTGTTTGTCCTGTTGCAGATAAATTGTTCCTTCTACAGAATATCTGACCAGGAAAAAAATATTTCAAGCAACACTAGAAATTACCAAAAAAACTTCTTAACTAATCATGTAGCCACCCGCCACTATACCTGTCCTGAATTCTGTGGCTGGTATATTCCAGTGGTGAGCTGAGAGGAAGCCCCAGTCAAGGAAGCAGTTCTCTTCTGGTTGTGGGGAGGCCTGTGCCGAAAGGCTGGGAACAAGTTTCTGCAGACCAGAAAAGCATTCTGTACTAGTGAGCTAACAGGAAACAGTGCTCTGGCAATTAGCTTTCCAGGCACTTGGTTGAGTGTCTTCATTAGCTACCTAATTCTGCTTAGAGGGAGGGAGGAATTAATCTCTTTTTGTTTAGATAGAGGTTGTTCCTTCTGCCTCTGCTCTGATTATCAAAGCTCTGAAGGAGCCTCCTCGTGATAGGAAGAAGCAGAAAAACAGTAAGTTTTCCTCTGTTTTTTACTTCTGAATGTGTTTTGGGGCCAAAAGGGGAATAGGTACCTGCCTCTTCCATTATTCAGCATAAACTGGCAAACGGGTGCCGTGGGGCTGTATCTTGGGCAGCTGGCATTCCTTAAGCATCAGAGTCGAGGCGTGGTCTGTAGTTTCTGCCAGCAGAGTTCAGTTTCTTGTCTTGTAATGCAGTGACTAGTACAGTCCAGAGGTGAGCTGACAGAAAATGCCAGCTTAGGAAACAGAGTTGTTACTGTGGGTGACTTTGTGCTCAAGTCTGGGAACGAGCGTGCTGATTGCAGCCCCACTGCACATGTAAACTCACCAGTTTCTGTGTGGTCTGAGTGCTGGGAATGGTGCTTCTCTAGTGACACAAGCAACTGGAAGTACCTGTGTTGACATGAACTTACTGATGCTTTTGCTCTCGTTCATAGTTAAGCACAGTGGCAGTGTCAGCTTTGATGAGATAGTGAACATTGCACGGCAGATGCGGCACAGGTCCCTGGCTCGAGAGCTCTCAGGTGAGTACTGGTGCTGGGGTTGCATGGAGTGCCTGAGCCTGGTTCTGGTCTGGCTCTCGGGCACTGAGCACCACAGGAACCGCCTTGTATTGGCTGTGAGCAGCTCGCACCTTCTGGTGAAGGTTACAGGATGGTGAAAGGTACACGTGGTGCTTTCTGGTGTGTTTGTTGGAAACCAATACATTAGACCTAGCTTAAGTTGCTTGCTGTCCCCTGGTGAAGCCTGTGGCTGCAGCCTGCAAACCCCAGAGGGAGGGAAGGACAGCTCAGGGGTGTGAAAAGTCAAGTTCTCTATACATTCTTCAAAGTTTTTCCTATGAAAGCACTGACAAGCTGTGTCTTCCCACTGCAGGGACAATCAAGGAGATTCTTGGAACTGCCCAGTCTGTGGGCTGCAGCATCGATGGCAGGCACCCACACGATATCATTGATGACATCAATAACGGTGCAATTGAGTGCCCAGCTGTAAGTATCCATCTCTCAGCGAAACTGGCTATATTAGACTTAAAAGACTCCACTAATGAGCTGTATTTGCTTCTTTCAACAGATCTAAGACTGCAGAAACGAAGTTGCCATATGAAGGCTCCTTAAGTATTTTGTAGCACCTTAAATGCTTAATAAAAGACCCAGTTGTCTGCACGCAGTGTTGCTGGCTTAATTTGTCCCTGTCCTATGCTGCATGAATAGCAGGTTTTGGTTGGGGACCACCTGCCGCAGGTGATGGTTCTCACACAGACATTTAAGCAAGTGCTCTGGTAACAGATCCTGTGTCCCCTGAACTGCTACAGCCAGGACACAAACACATTTTGAAGCTTGAAAGTAACTTTGCAGGCTGCTGGCCTCTTGATGCTGTGCTAGAGTGGCTGCCATGTGCTTGGGGGATGGGTGGGCTCTGACTGGTGCCTATTGGCAATGACATCCGAGGTGTGGCTGCTCAGCCAGCATCCTGCAGGAGCCAGGGAAGATGGCTCCCTGTGCCTGGCAGCACGCACCTCGGCCTTTTCCTCTAGCCTATCGTCACCAGGAGGAACCTCTGATCTTGGCTCTGTGGGGTTTCTATTGTAAAAGATTGGATTATTTGCCCAGCTTTTTTTCCTGTCTTAAAGCAGAGGACATTGAATTCTCTTGTGGTGACTAGGACAAGTACATGTCCTAGTTTGAACTGAATTTTTGTGCTTTATTTCATCACCAAAGAGGAGCGAGTCTGATTGAGGGGGTGAGATCCTGTGGTCCTCTGCTTCAGAGAGTTATAAAGGGCCCAGTCTCATGTTTCTTGGGTCTTCTGATTCCTTGAATGATGATGCAGGGGGAGCGAGGCAAGCAAGCCCTATAGCCCCTCTCTAGATCATATGATCCAGGTCCTGGTGTATTCCCTGAAAGACAAAAGAAGCAGTTTAAGTGTTGGTATTTCCCTTTGCATGGGCATTCTGTAAATACAGTGCTACTGCTTGTCAAGAGATGGATCCTAAAACCTGGCTGAGCCGCAAAACTAGTGCTCAGCAGTGTTTTGGCTGTTTTCTGCACATTACTGTGCCCTGCAGGAGTGCCAGCTTAACCTGCTGATGAAGACCTGCTGCTCATGGATAAAAGGAGTTTGCCCCACTAATAGCGCCTTCCTCAAGGAAAGGGCAATTTGACTTGAGATAGAAAACTTGCTGGGAAGAGGTGTCCATGCCCATTATAAGTAGGGGTTGGGATGCAGGCATGGCTATTGAAAAGCATGGTGAGGAAAGAGTAAAAGCTTTAGCCTTGCTTATTCAAAATGAGCTTTTCTGGTAAAACACTGAAGGAGGAGGGCCTTGCAAGCACCATCTTGGGGAGCTCATCCAATGAGGATGTAAAGAGCCTAAGCTCAACTATAGCACATTTACCTATTTAACCTCTGGAGAGGTTCCTCATGTTTCAGGCTTGGTGCTTGAAATCATTATACTTCACAGTATTTGACACTTCGTTCTCACACCTGAAAGCTTTGTCCAGTTGTTACAGTGGTACAGCTGGGGGAGTGTGGATAGAACTAAAGTCCTCCAAAGATCCTGGGGAAACCTTGTTCTATTTCCAGCAAAGGCTGGATTTTCCCCTGGGGTGGCACAGCGTAAGGGATGACGTGTGGTATTCTGGGCTGTGGAAAGCTCTATTAGAAGTGAAGTGAAATTACCCTGGTAATAAGAATACTTTAGCTGACTCTGAGATATTACTAAAAGCCCTATTAACAGAAGCATTATGATTGCAGTTTACTTCAGCACTAATAGAGTGGCCTGGATAAAAAAGTCATGAATGTTAATTTAGGTTTGTTTTTCCAAAGTTCTCAAATACAAGGTATGTTTTCCTACTCTGCAAAGTGCTGACAGTACTTGATCAACTTTCTTCTTGCCAGTGTCTCTTCAGTTTTGCAAATAACTCTCAAAGTTATTCTTACAAGCTACTTCGAGCCCCAGAGAAAAACTTTCTGGCTTGAACTCTACTACAGTGAGCAGGACTCTTTAGCAGTGTGCATTGTAGGAATTGGGGGAGGAAAAAAATAGCTTTGCTATTACTTCTGGGGGTGTGTAGGAGAATGTGGTATATGCACGAGTTGGGCTGCTAAAATTCACTGAATGGGGTCTGCCCAAGACCTTTGTACGAAGAGGCCAGTGCAGCAGGAGGGTGAAGTTGGCTGCGGTGAGGAATTTGCTGCTGCTGTCAGACACACCAGGTGCTGAATGAGCTGGAGCCTCTCAAGAGGAAAAAAGTCTCCAAATAAATTCCATCCCAAACTGAACGGGAGGAGGTGTGCACCTGTAGTAACTCTTCTTTCTAAAATAAATGCAAGTAATGTGTTATTTTTAGCATACAAGGCACTGCAATTCCTAAGCAGCCGTAGTTGAAGGTTGCTTGGATGCAGACCAATTGTGAGCTGTTTTGGTGAAACTGAACCTTTGTGTTTGCTC